TATGACTACCTCTTCCAAGTGGTCTCCTGACTTCAGGATTTCCGTCCGAAATCTCATGTCCACTTCCAATCGCTCAGACCGTTCTGGCATCCCGCGTATCCCTTCGAAACGGGCTTTTCAGGAGAGGGTTCGCAACAGGCGAGCTCAAGACTCAAGTTGCATGATCGCCCCTTGTCGGCAGTCCATAACTGATTATTCGATATATACAGTAAACCCTCACTAACTGGGAGAGGTCATCCGGATTAAGCGACAATCCGGATCAGTGAAGCAAACGGTAGCCCTAAAAGACAAAATAAATTACATCATAAATAAAAGGAAAATGTATTGATATAATTAGTGCTGATGAAAATAAATACAAGAAAAAGTCACTGTAGAGCCTTTATTGAAAAACTACAAAAAGATAATGCATTAATTCATCGATAGAAGAAGCAGAAATTTGACTTGTTTTTGAACGCAATAATGTAGGTTTGAAGAAACTGTCAAGTTTTGTCTGAATAGACAAGTGACTCATCTGCCTTCCTAAATGCCATGTGTCTATTACAGTGTGTACTCAACTGTGTACAGAATTTTCCATATTTCGATCCGGATTAGCGAGGGTTTACTACATATATACACACATACATACCCACCAGCCCCACCATTCGCAACCTGAGGACACCGCATGCCGCAATTTTGCTCTGCTCAATGCTATTGCCGTGTATTTTTTTATTGTTAGTGGGGTGGGACTAAGTCCCTTGTACTGCGGCCACTTCTGGCCTATTGTACCAGCCCCAGATGATATGTGAGGGTGATTGTGGAGCAATTGGTGGGATGAAGATGGGCAGGGGAAATCGAAGTACTCGGAGAAAACCTGCCCCAGCGCCACTTTGTCCACCACAAATCCCACTTGACCAGACCCGGATCGAACCCGGGCCGCCGCGGTGGGAAGCAAGCGACTAACCGCTTGAGCTATGGTGCGGCCATTGACGTATATATTAGTACTTTAAAATGTTAGAATAAGTCACGTTAAGTTACATTAGCTGAGTAACGACTACGACATTTGATATTTCTAATTCTAAATTACAAAACGCAAAATCAGCGTGGAGAGTAGCACAGCAAAAAGTGCAGGGTAATGATGTAGTATTTGCGCTTATTTATCTAACCACCACGCCATAAAGATGCATGGAGGAGTGGGATTGTACCTCCATGCATTAAACTCGGCAAAGCTTGAGCTTAGCTGTAACATTCAATCCCCTGCCGCTTTCCACCCTGGGAAATAAGTCCCAAGTACCCACTGCATAGGAGGCTGGGTGGGCCCCAGAGCCGGTCTGGACGAAGAGAAGTTTTCTGCCTCGGTCGTCCAGTCCCAAGCCCAACACTATTCCGACTCCTGGGTTAAAGCACAGTGGTACCTATATGTACCACCTGCTTTAACATCAGAAAACTATGCACTTTGCCCAAAGAACGTATTTATGTGTTTAGTGTGGTTCTGAAAAAATACATCCATTATTTAACTTATAACATTAAGTGGCAGGTCTTTGTAATGGAAACACAGTGAATTTTCTGTGACATAAAAACTAAAATTTTGAAATGTTTAAATTATTTGATACCGCCCCGTAGGACAGACGTACAAGCGAAGTGAATGAAGCTGTGCCGAGCTGTGTACACACTCCCGCTTAAAACTTCTCTCGTGTTTACGATGCAGTTTTGAATGAATTGCATCAGAAAGTCCACAACCGAGACATCAGACTCCTCTGTCTTGCACTCAGACAGATGTTGGCCATTAAACTGTGAAGTCAGGGTCGAAAGGCATTGTATCACAATATACAAATATCTCATAAATCTAAGACAATGAACGATGACAATTTAAAAAATTATAAAGCATCAAATGACCGTGAAAACCCCATAAAACGTTTAGGCATCTTAACCTCTTCAGTTTAACATTTCAATATTTACCTTACTCCAGTATAAAGCAACAGTCACAAGGGGTAACACAACTAGAAAAACATACAGTCATAAGAAAACAATAAGTTCTGGGAAGAAATAATCACCTAGTTTCCTTTGATACGATATGGACTGCATAGAAAACGACACCTTCAATAATTCTACCTTGCCGCGGGAACGCTTTTACAGAGATGTTACCTATTAACGATAGGGGGATATACAGATAGACCTACACACACATTTATCCAACAATTCTTATATTTTTAAGTATATTCGACGCCCCGGGACGTGTTTACCGAGCCGTTGCCTAGCAACGATAGGAGGGATACAAAAACAGACACACTGACTGATGGGAGGAATTTATGAAGGACGCCGTTGAGATGGTATCAGATGCCATGATGCGCAGACCAAATTTCATAAAGATTGGTTGAGGCATTCAAAAGTTAATAGGGTGGGCGCACAGACAACATGGAGGTAGCATAAGCTACTAACATTGGCCAATGTAACAGCTATACGTTAATTTATGTAAATACCCTGACGATGGCCAAATATGTCGAAACATATCGCAGAAGTGCATAATAATAAAAAATTTGTGGCGATGTAGAAGAAAACGTCCTATGTCCAGGCTAATCCGTATCCCAGCTGAGACTCGAACCGGGCACCACGAAGTGTTGCAAGTTGAGCCAGCTCATTCGGTGACAGAGCACTGCCGTCAGAAGGAAGGGGTCTCGTGCAGGGGGCTGTGGGATGGAGCAATTGCGAATTCCACAAATAACAACTCAATAAAGCACACAGAAGGAACTGGAACAAGGCGTACTGACAGGAAGCCAAAACACGTGGAAAAATTCTGTTTAATAATACCCGTATAAGGTTCAGTAAGGGAGGAACATAGACTGAGGGTGTTTAAGAACAAGGTGCTGAGGAGAATATTTGGACCGAAAAGGGATGAAGCGACGGGAGGTTGGAGAAAACTGCATACTGAGGAGCGTCATAACATGTACACTTCTCCAAGTATAATTAGAGTGATCTAGTCAAGGAGGATCAGATGGGCAGGGCATGTAGCAAGCATGAGGAAGAAGCAGAATGCACAAAAGGATTTTGGTGGGGAAGCCAGAAGGACTAGGAATGCCCAGACATAGATGGAAGGATAATATTAAAACGAATCTTAGATATATAGGATGGGGTGTTATGGACTGGATTGATCTGTTTCAGGATAGGGACCAGTGGAGTGCCCTTGTAAACACGGTAATGAATCTTTGAGTTTTATAAAATGTTTGGAAATTCTTGAATAGCTGCATAACTGGCGGCTTCTCAAGAACGGCTCAGCTCCATTGTGATAATTGTAGTTTAGTTAGTTAATATCTGTGACATGACTCAATTTGCTTAAGGATGATTTTGTGTGGGTCACCTGACAAAGCGATCAATTGCTCCACTGTATGGCTGTCGAGTGGCAGGGCCAGGGTTCAATGGATGATTTTGAAGAAAACATCTGTGCCCTAAAGGAAATACTCATACTGCCTCGGGATCTTCCTACACGCACAGAGGAAAACCATGAAAGACCTTCGTCAGGATATCCTGTGTCCCGGCCGGCATTCGAACCAAGCACATCCCAAATGCAAACCTCTAGCGTGTCCGCTAGACCATGTTCTTGACAATGACAACAACAAATCAAAATTGTGTTTAAAAATAAATAAACACATTAAATTTTGGAAATACTTGAAGAGTCATGTCTTCTGGGTTGCAAGCCATATAGTTCTGAGAATCCGACGTTTCGGAGGAACATATTGTCTCCATTTTCAGTGTCAAGAGTAGGCAAAGCAAAATACAAGTAGAAAGAGCTGAGCTCAGACCGCAGCCTGCTTCCGTTGATTTCTTCCTTGCCTTACTCTCCGACCTTGAAGATGGAGGCTATATATTCTCCCGAAACGTCAGTTGATTTTCACGAGAATACACGGCGGTATATCCCAGAATAGAGAAATCTTCATAGTCACCGCTGTGATAACCTCAAACCCTTGTACTTCGTTACGTGTGTTGAAAAGAAGATATTCATGAGAAGTGGCTCTATGATATGTACCATTTTCCCCCTACCTCCACCATGAAGATGTAGGCAGCATTGTCCTCCGAAACAATGGTGCATGTATATGTAGCATTCAAGATATTCCACATTTAAGACAATGAGTTGTTTCTGAGGGGAAAAATTATTAATTCAAAATGAGCTCGGTTATACTGGCTCACACAGACAACACAAAAACCGGCCGCTAGTTTGCAGTGTACTCGTAGACAACCTAACCTCACATTCAAACTAAATTCTTTCAGAGGTGTGGATGTTGGCAGGACTGAAGCGTTCTCCCTATCGTGGTTCTATTTGATATGCCCCAGCTAAAAAATGCAACGAATGTATAGGATCTCTGTGTATTTATTAATAGCTCTTTAACGACGATGATTCTGTGCACTGTTTTACGATGTTTTCAGCAGCTAATGTTAAGACAGTGTGAAAAGTTAAGATGATGGATTGTGAATCGAAAAGGATTTGGAAGGAGGCGGTCGTAGCCTACAAGTACTATTCAGCCATTTGTAGGAAGGACTGAGGAAACCACAAGAACGCCAGTCAGGTTTGCCGGTGTCCAGGCAGAGATTCGAACTCAGCACCTTTCAAATGCGAGTCTAAAGCGTCAGTCGACTCGGTAGCGTTGAATGATAGGATTACTGATGAATAATGAATTGGAAAGGCTGTGAAAGGAATCGGTCGTCGTATTATCCAAAATTCTGTAGAGACTGAGGAAAACGAAGAGAAACTTCAATCAAGATAGCCGATAACAGGGTTGAGAACTGAATTCGGTTATCCCCCGTATTAGAAGCAGAAGTTCGGTTTCGTTGTATAATACATGGATAAAAAAAAAAGACTTGTGAAATGTTAAACTCGATATTGCTATAAATAAAGTTAAAAATGAGAGTGCCAGGCCGGACGACGACCCCACCGTTCCATAGGTTGGATCGCGTGCGGTCTGTAGGGGACAAGGAGCGCCTTCGGATAGCAACTCGTGTCAAAGGGTCAACTGGCACACCCTGTATAAAAGCGGCCGTCAGAGGGGGTAGGATTGTGTACAGCAGTGACCACCATGAAGACAACACTGGCGCTCGTGTTCCTGGCCACAGTGGCCATAGCAGCTGCGGTCCCGAGCCACGGACACAACAACAGGTTCCTCGGTAAGACGGCAGCTCAGTCTCGCTTATTAAATTATTAAATTTCCTTAGAATATATTGGCTTTGATGCTCTCATGGCGGTGTATATGAGCAGCATAGCCTTCTGGGTTATGGCGCAGTGTAATTATGACAGAGCCCAAAGTTTCGGAGGAACAAATTACATCCATCTTCAGGATCTAAGAGTAAGAAAAGCAACTAATGATGTGATTGTTATTTGATTCTCTCTGGTTGCTTGTTTGGTTTACTCTTCAATCCTGAAGATTGAGGCAGTAATTTACTCCGAAACGAGACTTTTGCTGGAGTATACGTCATCATAGTGACCACTAATGACGCCATGTTACAGCCGACAAGCAGCTTCTGCAACGTCAGAATGACATCCTGAAGCTTCTTGTGCGCATTGAACAGCCCAACTACTACGAGGACCAGGCTCAGCTAGGCAACACGTATGACATTGAATCCAGCATTAAAGACTACAAGGTAAGAGTCTGCAACATGCAAACGGACCTAACTGCCTCAGTCGGTCACGTAAAGATAAAGTTTGTCCCTCTGCTTAATTACGCATCACGCCATGAAAGCTTATGGGGAAGTGGAGGCATAGCTCCAGGCATTATCAATCTCGGCACTGGAGGAGAGTGGCCGGCTTACCCCCGAGGAAGGAGCCTCTGTTGCAACAGAGCAGGTTGCGCCGCAGCACCGGTCTCAATACTGTCCATTTCTCTTCAGGTTTAAGAATTATTCTGACCAATTTACAAATTCGCTTGGGAAGGTCTAGCTCGCCAACTGCCGTAAAGATGGCCGAGCGTGAAACAGTAAGTTAAAGTCCCGCCCAATCAAAATGTGTGGGGCAATGGAGGTATCGTCCAGGCATTCTTAACCTCGGTAATATATGAAAGTGAGTCGTAAGGAAGATGCCATCCCACCGCGGCGGCCTGGGTTCGATCCCGGGGTCTGGTCAAGTGGGATTTGTGGTGGACAAAGTGGCGCTGGGGCAGGTTTTCTCCGAGCATTTCGGTTTCCTCTGCCAATCTTCATTCCACCAAATGCTCCACAATCACCCTCACCTATCATCTGGAGCTGGTACAATAGGCCAGAAGTGGCCGCAGTACAAGGGACTTAGTCCCACCTCACTAGCAATAAAAAAGGTAGACGCCCAGGTCGTCTTAACCCTGGGAAAAGGGATGTCCTCTGGATTAGCCGATCTGGAAGCTGCGGAGAAGACAAAAATCTCTTACTCTTGTCGGGAATTGAAACCAGATTCCTCGGTCCTCCAGCCGGTAGAGTAATCGTTACACTGACTTAATAATGTAACCAGACAAAGTAATTGTTATGGGATTAGAAGGGCAGAGAATGGGGTAGCATGCTTTGTTGGATGTGATGCAGTATAGTGTACAAGTTCGCCGATAATTCGAGGGAATGTACTGCCCCCATCTTCAGGGTTAAAGATAAAGTAAAACAATCAGCAACAGTCTTGTTTACAGCTTATTTCTTACTTTGCTGCTTGTCTTACTCTTCAACAATAAAGACATAGTTCCCTCCGAAACGTCGGTGAACTTCTTCTGGACTACATGATGTCACATCCCAAAAGACAGCATTTGATGTTTTCTACTATGCTGCATAACCTCTGTACCTGACGCACTCATCTGTAATTCATGCACTGAAACAACGGTTCAGTTCTACCTGTCGGCATGATGAGTAAGACAAAGTACCCTGTTGCAGTACCCTGAAGAGGTAAAGAAGTTCGTGTTTGCCTACAAGAAGGGCTTCCTGCCACGTGGGGTGCCATATTCTTCCTACTACACCAGCCAGAGCTACGAGACGGAGCTCCTCTTCAAACTTCTGGTCGCGGCCAAAGACTATGACACTTTCTACAAGGTAATAACAGCTTTTGGAAGGTAACAGCCATTTTGTGACACAATAAGGCACCATCTACAAGATATTGACACATGCTGAAAAGTAATAATCACATTACAACACCTTATGAAAGAGAACAGAATAAATGTTACAGCCACGTTACAACACAACACCTTACTTATCAAATTAACAATAAAAGGTCACCTATTGAAGTTAGTGGAGTTACTTTAGGATATAGGCCGCGCCATAGCTCAAGCGGTTAGTCGCTGACTTCCCACCGCGGCGGCCCGGGTTCGATCCCGGGTCTGGTCAAGTGGGATTTGTGGTGGAAAAAGTGGTGCTGGGGCAGGTTTTCTCCGAGTACTTCGGTTTCCCCTGCTAATCTTCATTCCACCAACTGTTCCACAATCACCCTCACCTATCATCTGGGGCTGGTACAATAGACCAGAAGTGGCCGCAGTACAAGGGACTTAGTCTCACCCCACTAGCAATAAAATAATAGTTTAGGATAGAACAATAATGTGAAGAACAACTGAAGATCAGCTAATGTCTACATCTGCTCCTCAGACCGCAGCCTGGGCTCGTATCAACATCAATGAGCTTCAGTTCCTAATCGCCTTCAGTTCCGCCGTCTACGCACGCGAAGACTTGCAGGATATCGTACTGCCCGCTCCGTATGAAATCTACCCTTACCTCTTCGTGGATGCTGACGTAATTCAGAAGGCCTATGAGACAAAAATGTGGGGTAAGTAATCGAACTTCAAGTTCTAGAATTATTTTAGTATCTTTGGCACAGGACTTCATTTTATAAATTAAATTTTCCTTCAAATCTCCCGGTTTCGCTAAAAATTGCGGAAACTTTCCAGAGATATTTAGTTCGTGCCCTATTTCAGAATCGACATATCCGGTGGGGTGGGTAAAATTAAGACCGGTACCACTGCCACCAGTTTAAAACCAATTTTCAGTTAAACAATAATAATAACAAATGCACATATACATTTGTCCATATTCTAGACAGGATGTGAACCAGGGACTCAAAGGTTCGCTTAGTCTAAGAGTTTGCATTTAAAATCGCGTGGCTACACGGACCGCCGCTGATGATTAGTGACCCTGGAGAAACGTTACATCATCTCTAGAATTTACGCAATTGAGTCCTGAAAAAGGAAGACTATGGCAACTCCAAAGCGTTCTGGGGAAAATCTCGGCATTTCAATGTGAAATATTGTGTCAGAGCTACATGTTTTGTTTCCTTAATCAACAAGTGTGAGATATTCCATCAACATAAAAACTGTACACAACTGAATCAAATACATAGTATAGTTCCTTTATCACGTAATATAATTCGTCCGAGATAATTTGTTTAATATAGGAACTGTATATAATTTTTCCCGGAGTTCAAGTCTCGGTAGGGGCAAGATTCTTCTTCTAGCTACGTCTTCGAGGCTACTGCTGAGGCCCACTCAGCCTAATATCCAATGGGTACTTTCCATGAGGGTAAAGCGGCCGGGGCTAGAAGTTGACTAGTCACATTCAACTACTGCAAAAGTGAAGAATACCTGGATCTATACATCCATTCCACCTACGCCTTCATGGCGTGGTGCTTATTTAGTTAAGCACAGGGACAACTTTACCTTTTACTTATAATTATTTCAATTGCATATAAAAGACGAAATTTCTCTTTATTAATCGGCATTTTCGAAGCATATATATATATTTTTCTGTGGCGCTACAGCCCCAGTTTTGGGCCTAGGCCTACCTCCATAAAACTCTCCGTTTCACTTCGGTTTACTAGATCTTACACATTTGGTAGGACTCCTTGGGCGGGTGATCAGCTCGTCGCAAGGCCTCTATCTGTACACAAACACAGAAAAACGCACACAAACATCCATGCCCTGAGTGGGATTCGAACCCACGATCCCGGCTTCCGAGCGAGCGAAGACAGTGCATGCCTTAGACCGACCGGCTACCGTGACCGGCATATATATATATATATATATACACATCACATTCATCGTTATATACATTATCACTTCAACCAGAAATGATAATTTAATATTGTACAACTAACCACCAAGTCTTCTTGCGATGAAATTCACACCTTAAATGTTCCTATGAAAGCAGTAGACACAGAACCCAACAACTTCTAAACGCTAAACAGCCACAAAATGGCGCACTCTCTGAAAGATAACAGATACAAAATGGCGCACTCTCTAAAAGATAACAGATACAAAATGGTTCACTCTCTGAAAGATAGCCGATGCAAAACAGGATATTCTCTGAAACGTAAGCGCCACAGAATTTGAGAATGTCTAAACAGTGACAGTCATAAATTAGAACACCCTCTAAAGGTAACAGCCACAATATACGACGGCCTCTAAAAAGTAACGGTCATGATATATTCTCTAAAGGGTAACAGCTACGACACTATCTGAAATGTGACGGCTATTCCACAACAATACGAGACATTAAGTGTTAACTACGTACGTTCAAAAACCCGCACATTTTAAAATTATTCCAATTGCTTCACTGTTCTTAATTATATGTGTAATTCATCACAAGAAAAATCTTATACCATAGTAATTATTAAACATGTCATCTCCTGTCCTGTAAGTGTGACACGATGCAGTTGTAAACAAACCACAGCTTCGCTTGAACTCGGTTTCTGCCCTGTACAATTTCAGACGTGGGACTGACGTCGCATAAGACGTACGTGTTCCCAGCTAACTACACTGTGTACACCCCTGAACAAAGCGTCAAGTATTTCACAGAAGACCCGGGACTCAGCACCTTCTACATTAACTTCTATTACAACTATGCGCCCTTCTTCAATGGAACGGAATACGGCGTTCAGTACGACCGGCGTGGAGATCTGATCTACTACCTCCACCAGCAGCTTTTGGCCCATTACTCTTTGGAGAGGCTGTCCAACGATTTGCCCGACGTCGAACCTTACTACTATGACAAGCCCTTTCAGGTAAGAGCCAATACAAGTTCCTTGGAACGAAGTCTTGTATCAAGAAAGAAAAAAGTTAAAGTCATCCCTGTGCTTGATTAAGCACCATAGCATGAAGGCGTACGGGGGGAGTGAAGATATAGCTCCACCATTCTTAACCTCGGCATTAGATTGAGGTGAGCGGTCAGTTTCATGCCTCTACCAGTTTAACCGTGGGGAAACGTCTTTCGGTACCACCGATAGGAGGGTGGCCCCCAGAACCGGTATGGACACTATGGAGAAAATTTGTCTGCCCATGGCGGTAATCAGACACCAATTCTTCGGTCATCCGCCTTGAATCTAGTCAAGTCAGTAACCGGGACAATTTGCTCATAAAAGTGTATCCCTTTAAAATTTAAAATAACTTGATATATCAATAAGTTGCGTGAAATGAAGTTTATGGTATAATATTAAAACAAGTGGGTATTCTGTTCAAATTACATAGCTAAATAATTATTTTAACTCGAAAATTACGTTAAGCAGCTAAAAGAAACCCAGGATGAAAAATAATCGCAGCAGGGCTCCAGAAACATGAAGTAAATGACAAGCCAACACAGTTCGCTCGCTCACAGACTTCTGACAGCAGAGATTTCGTCTTGAAACAAAAGAATGCTGTTAAATAATTAGGTCTCCGCAACTGACGCACGATAAACTGCTTTCATATTGGCTAAGGGCTATGTTTAACATAATTCCGTGGCCAACGTATGTGACAAGCTACGTTAATTAGGACGTTTGCACGCGCAGCAATCCTTTCGCTTCTGTCTCCATCTCTTGGTGATTTTAAAGAACTACCTAGCACTTCAGCTTGGATTATAATGTTTTTAGATATGTAAAGTATATACTTTTTCTTCCTATATCCTTTTTTTTTTCTTAATCTGCATTTTCGTGATGAATATGATTAAACTGCCATATTTCTACGGATGCGGGAGGAATAGAGATTCTCAGTCCCAAACATGTTAATTATAATAATATATTTAGACTTCTTTCGTCAATGATCGACATTAATATGCCCATTGAGAATGTGTGCGCTTATTACTGGAGCCCTGGAGTAAATGACGTACAGTGCGTTCAGTTAAGGAGGAAACGGTGTTGCGAAGTTTCCTCCTTCATTGAACGTCCTGTATTTAACTCATTAATGCAACTGAATTATTTCTCGTTGCAGACCACGTACTATCCCAACCTGCGATACCCCAATGGGCAGGAAGTGCCTGTCCGTCCCTACCAGTACACACAAAGCAGCCTCTACGGCCACAGCGGGCACAGTCTCTACGAAAGCAACTTTGAAGGCGGGAATAAAGAATATTACAGTGGCAACTACTTGACCGGCAACTACCAGCCCACCTACTACTACGGTTACGCCAACAACTATAATTATTACTACCCAGAGGACATTCAGTTGTACGAAAAACGCATCCTAGATGGCATCGATATTGGGTTCCTCGTCTCTGTAAGCACAATGGTCTAGTACTCTCTCGTGACTGAACCCGAAGGTTCCACACCGCTAATACCAAAGTCCGCCACTGGACACGATCGTGAGCCAGTTCCATCCACCTCCCATCCTCACAACCTGTACACGTAAGATCCATCTTACTAATTCTCTGGTAGCAGAACCCGAAGGTTCCACACCGCTAATACCAAAGCCCGCCACTGGACACGATCCTCAGTCATTTCTTCAAGTTAACATCACAGTCTATTTATGTAACATGCATTTTAATATTAACGTTTGATATCGATTTTACAAGTAGCATATTTAAAATATATTTCTGCACCAAAATTTTTGTATGCATTTCTTGCTTCTTCTGTTCTTATTACACGTCTAGCCTATAATAACTTGAGTGGATTAACCTAAAAATTGTGTATCATATCATAAAATAATTCATTTAAGAAGCAGGGACTTTCAAAACTTATTTAAAGATCAATAACGCAAGTACTTAACCGATTTATTCCAACTGTGTTCAATTTACCCGATTTCGGTGACTGCGAAATTTTATAATGTGATCACAAATTGATGATGGATTCGACTCCCACTCGGTGCATAGATGTGATGTTTACTCTGGTCCAGAAAATCATGCCGATAGAAGAGACGCTAACGTCATGAATCTCCTTACTCTAGGAGGAAGCTAAAGTCAAGTATCCTTTGTACGAGGACTACTTGAAGGGCATCAATTACCTTGGTAACGTCATTGAGGGCAACGGTGATAGCATCAACAAGAAGTTCTACGGAGCCATTCTCACCTCCTACCGCCAGCTCCAGCCCTACAGTAACGTCCCGGTGAGTGCCAACACAGATCAGGAGTTCTCACAACAACCAGTGTTAGTACCAACACAGATCATCGGTTCTCAGAACATCCCCAGCGTTAATACTAACACATCGTTGGTTCTCAAAACCAGTGATAGTACAAACACAAATCAGGGGTTCTCGAAACAACCCTAGTGTTAGTACCAACACAGATCATGGGTTCTCGAAACATCCCCTGCGTTAACATTAACACATCGTGGGTTCTCAGAACAACCAGTGATAGTACCAACACAAATCAGGGGTTCTCGAAACATCCACAGCGTTGGTACCAACACGGATCATGGGTTCTCAAAACTACTTTAGTGTTAGTACCAAAACAGATCTGGGGGTTTCAAAACAACTCCAGTGTTAGTACCAATACAAATCAGGGGTTCTAAAAACAACCAGTGTTAGTACCAATACAAATCAGGGGTTCTAAAAACAACAAGTGTTGGTACCAATACAAATCAGAGGTTCTAAAAACAACCAGTGTTATTACCAACACAGATAAGGCGTTCTCAAAATGACCACGACGTTAGTAGCAGCACAAATCAGAGGTGTCCAAAACAACCATCGGATGAGTGCCAACGTAATTCAGAGGTTCTCAAAACAACCTCAATCAGTACAAACACCGACCAGGGGTTCTCATAACAGCCATGGCGTGAGTATCAACACATGTCAGAGGTTCTCTAGTATCGACATAAATCAGGAGTAAGCGCCAACATGACTATAGATTTACAACCGAAAATCGGAAAACAAAGTACAACTTTTCTTCTTTATCTTTAAATTGATGGAAGCAAGCAGAACATCCTCGTATCGATCTTCGGCAACGAATGAATTCACAGAAACGATTCCACAATTATACTAACATCTTGCGGTATCATCAATTTGTTAAAAGTACCTTCTTGATATTTAGGAATTCCAGGAGAGAGAAATTCTAACATTATAATTGATTAATATTCCTGATACACTCTTAATATATAAAATACACCTACTTAAGAAGTTGTAATATCTTGACAGGTTGCTCCCAGCGCCCTCCAGAATATCTTCACTGTCCTGAGGGACCCAGCAAACTACCAGATCCTTAAGCGCATCGACTACCTCTTCAGGAGATACAAGAACTCCCTGCCTCAATACACCTACCAGGAGGTAAGTCCATGCACATGCGCAGTGCTTAGTATTGTTTAAAATATCTCTGAGGGTGTCATACCTTCAATAGGGAAAGTCCTGTATGTCCAATGGAATGTCGGGTACAACGATTTTGGTTTTCATCATATGTTCAAAATTTACTCCTGTAACTTTCTAATTATCATGCAATGATCTGATGACTAATTACGCACCGTCAAAGAAGTTTTAAATGAAAATAACTGCAATAAATAAATAGCGGGAAAGCATGACAATCTTGGAGACACTCGGTTGGTTCCCGAAAATAATGCGCGCCCTGTGAATAGAGCTTCCAATCTTACAGGATTTGAGGTTCCCACAGCGGCGGTTATGAAGCGTACACATTCCTTCCAAATCATTATCATACAGTCATTCCATTCTACATGGTCTGATTGCTGATATCGTCCATAAATAAATTAAAAATAAATAATGGATAAGTACCAGTATAACATCCACTGAGATATCAATGGAATTCTCATCAGATGTTACGATTATAAACTTCTCATGCTTTCTGTCGCATTCCTTCCAAACTCCCGTGAATAACAGACACAAATAATCAACCGTAAACAGTCTCTCTATACAGCATACTACTCTCCACATGGCAGCACGAGGTAGCGTAGTTGGTTTAGGCACTATGCTACAAGCCGCAAGGTCGGAGGTTCGATTTCCGATAAGGTAATTTGATTTTTCAATTGACCTTATCCTTCTAGCCGCATTATGGCCCTGAAGTGGATTCAGCCTCTAACGAAATGAGTACCAGGAATCTTCCTGGGCGTAAGGCTGACAACCTCGCCGCCATGTGTGAGCCGATTGTCTAGAAAATGTGGAAGCCTCGATGTCTCACAACCCTATGGACCTTCACGGCCTGTTAAAGGATAGCTTTACCTTTTCACATACCCACATTAAATTAACGTCAGTATTCAAATAATATATTAATGATACATATAAATGAAATATTTCTCGCTCGTTTGTGACCTGCTACATAATTTGTGTTCATATGGAGCAATATCGCTAGACAATTTGTTGCTATGGTAACCAGAAATTGCTTTCATCTCAGAGTTATGTTACGTTTATGCGTTGGAAATTATGTCCGAAACATGCCTTAGCCCACAGTCTGTTCTCTTCCTGTTTTCAGCTCGCTTTCCCAGGTGTTACGATTGAGAACGTCGACGTCGACAAGCTGATCACCTACTTCGACTACTTCGACATCGACCTCGACAACGTGGTGAACGTGAAGACGGCCGAAGACGGCCAGTTCATTGACTACCGCGCACGCCAGACGCGCCTGAACCACAAGCCATTCACTTACAAAATCGACGTGAACAGTGATAAGACAACTGACGTGTACGTGCGGGTCTTCCTGGGCCCCAAGTATGACTACCTGGGCCGCGAGTTCAACATCAATGACCGCAGGCACTACTTCGTTGAGATCGACCGCTTCCCATACAAAGGTACATGTCTCTCTAACAAGATGGTTATTTAACGATGCTGTCAGCATCAACGCCTCTGTGGTCTAGTGGTCAGAGTTCCTGGTTTCAGCTCCAGAGGTCCCGAGTTCGACTCCCGGCGCTACCAGATTTTCTGAGAAGTAATTGATCTGGAACAAGGTCTACTCAGACTCGTGAGGACAATTGAGGAGCTATTTCAAGGAAATAGCGGCTCCGGTCTAGAGAACCGAGATTAACGGCCGTGATGATTCGTTGCGCTGACCACGCGACACCCTCTATCCGCTAAAGTTCGCCGATTAGCGGCGGTCGCTCGGTCGGTATAGGTCGCTTGCGGACTAAAGCCACGGAGTTTGCTTTCTTTTTTCTCAGCATCAAGACCATATAGCGTCATTGATTACTGAATACGAAACAGTTGGTGGAATGAAAATTGGAAGGGGAAACCGAAGTGCTGGAAGGAAATCGACTCCAGTACCACTTGGTTCACTACAAATCCCATATGACCTGACCTGGGACTAAACCCAGGTGGCCGTGGTGAGAAATAAGCGACTAACCATACAGAGGAGGCCATGTTACAGCTCAGGCGGTTACTCACCGGCTTCCCACTGTGGAGGCCCGGGTTCGAGCTCAGGTCACGTGAGATTTGTACTTCGGTTTACCCTGCCAATTCTCATTCCACCGCCTGCTCCACATTCATCATCTATCATCTGAGGCTGGTACAATAGGGTAGTTTGTGGCCGACGTAAAAGGTGAACCCAGTCTCACCCCTCTCCAAGGAACTAAACTAAACTGAACCACAGATAGGGAGAAGTCAAAGTGCTATATTCCTAGAAGTCCGTCAATGGAGCCTATTCGAAATCTAGGAACAATATTTAAAGTCCATTTTAATATTATAGTCAAATCTATGCCAAGGTTTCCCAAATGGTCCCTTCTTCTATTGTTTTCCAACGAAATGCCTGTATGAATTTATTTCCACCGTGTATGCCAAGTTATATTCATCTCAGATCTCATAGCAAAACCACAGTGGTCTAGGGCTAGAAATTAGTCTATTTAATAGACGGTTTCGAGTGACGTAACCAATCTGTTGGGGCCCTCTTGCAGTCCAAACCGGCAAGACAACAATCCAGCGCAACTCCCGGGAGTCCAACGTCGTGGCCTCCGACTACCCAAGCTACAGAACCCTGCTGCGAAAAGTGGGTGACGCGCTTGAAGGCAAGGACCAGTTCTACATCGACAAGGTGAGTAAGAATTTCGCGAAACAATGGTTCCGTGTTGCGGATTCGTACGAGATTAAGTAACAAAATCCTGCCAGAGAAGCTAACAGTTGGTCAGGTGCTCAAGAAATTTCCATTTAAGTAAGCCGTATTCACAAAGCCACCCACTACTCCCTATCCTGGGCCAGATGAATCCAGCTCACGCCCCCCAACTTATTTCTTTAAAATCAGTTTGAATATAATCATGTCTGCGCCTGTCTTCAAAGTTGTCACTTCAGGTTTTACTACCAAAACGTGTATTCATTTCTGTTCGCTTCCTTGCATGCTCCATGCTCTGGCCATCTCAACCCCCCCCCCACCAATCGATCTGCTTATTTTATAACATCTGGCTAGGAGTACAAATTACGAAAGTCCTCGTTCAATAATTTTCTCCAGTCCCCACGCTACCCGTTACTTCATAAAGTTCAAAACATGCAAACAAAATTCTATGGCATGGATTATGCAGAGGCGCAAGAATGTCCTACCCAGCTGAGCTGCTCTCAAATATACCTCGCGTTCCAATGCGTTCACAAGAAGGCTAGTGCGTTTAGAATATTCACAATCGCATTGAAACCTTAAAGCCATTTAAATAATGGAGAATACTATATTGTAACAAGTGATGCCGTATAGTATAATAGAATTCTACTGACCTTTCGGAGAAGCGTACTGACATATGCAGGGCAGGGGAACAAATTACAGACCACGCTGCTTGCTTGACCTCCTCTTCGACCCTGAGGATTGAGTCAGTACTCTCATCTGCAATACCAAAACATACAGCGTCACATACCATAAATTTATTACTCTCCATGGTCATCGCTGGAGAGCCGGGATAGCGTAGTCTGTATAGCAACTGGTTGCGGGCTGGACGACCGAGGGGTCGGAGTTCGAGTCCGGTTAGGGTCAAGAATTTTCTCTTCTCCATGTCGTCCAGACCGGCTCTGAGGCTCAGACAGCCTTCTATCCGATGGATACTAGGGACTATTTCCCAGGAGATAAAACGGCTGGGGCGTGAAGCTAACCACTCACCTCCAACTAGTGCCAAGGGCAAGAAAATGTGAATCTATGCATCCACTCCTCCGCACGCCTTCATGGCGTAGTGTTTAATTAGTTAAGCACAGGGACAACTTTACCTTCATGATTATCGTTGTGATAACGTGAAATATGAGGGACAGAAAAGCTGGAAGGACATATAAAGGTTATTGTGGGGCACGTCAGTTTCGAGCATGCACGCTACACAGAACCTGACAATGCTCATTAGCCTGGGTGTTTGTAAACGACTTTGTTCACTCTCGTTAACTTCAGTGCTCACATCTCCATTATAGGAACCAACCGCTTATTGCTGTTGAAGGATTAGTACCTATTTATCCTGATAAAAAAGTAAAATTGTCCCTGTGATTAATTAATTAATTAAGCACTATGGCATGAACACATATGCGGGAGTAGAGGCATCGCTCCAACAGTCTTGACCTTCATACCCCGGCCGCTTTACCCCCGAGGAAAGAATCCCCGGTACCCATTGGGTAGGAGGCTGTGTTAGTCCCAGAACCGGTCTGGACGCCGTAGAGAATAGAACCTCGGCCTTCCAGCCCGTATCCCGTCGCTAAACTGACTCCTGTTTATCTTAACAATCATACGAAACACATAAATACAATACGAGTATGTAGGCAAAACGCAAAGGAAGAGGTATGTATAGTTAAGGCTATACTTTAAGAGGTTAAAAGCTCACGAATTAATTGCAACTGCTTGGCACTCGTAAATCATCTTCCATAAGTGTCTTCACGGTTATGTATATGGCCTAGGCAAGATGCCTCTTGGTGCATCACAATTCGATTCAGTATGCTTTCGTGGGTCACCCATTGTATTTATTGCGTAATAAACTTTGAAAAGTCCGGTATACATTAGCGCCTGTGGAGTTTTGTTTAGAGCACACACAGTACAAAGCTGTCAGAGAAGTGTTCTATCTTTCAGGAGACTATAATGTTTGTACGTTAGGAAAGCCGTTTTAAATGTTATTTTTATTCATATTCGATCAAACGGGCAGTGAATATGTAAGAAATTGCAATTAAACATATTTCTAAAACTCGCTGCTAAAATGTCTGGCCCGTCAATTCAGCTTGCATCTACACGTGCTAATTCAGATATCGGTTGTCCACGCGTTTCCATATCCAGCTTCAGTTCATGCAACAGTGGCACATTGTTCAACATCACGTCATTCGCTTTTACACCCTAACGGCCATTTTTTCAAGGACTGCAGCAGCTAAATAACACATTCCAAGGAACTGAGTCCTTCTTGAGAAGCTACCAGTTGCTTAGCCACTTAATAAATTGCAAATAATTTACGGAAACCGAAGGTTCATTACCGTGTTCACAAAAGGCCGGCATGATCTTTAACTTCAGCCAGATGAATCAGTCCACAAACCGCCCCCCACGCAACCCTATTTCTCCATTTCTTGTCTTCCTTCTCGTGCATATAACCCTCAAAGACCCAGTTCAATGTTACACGCGTCTACATTTTTCAAGTTTTCCAAATAAAATTGTGCACACATTTTCCAGTTAACCCCAGGTGAGCTATATATCGTATTTGGCACTTCTTCGTTTATTAACCCTATAATTCCATGGCAGGGATATAAAGTGATCTATTTCAGTATTTCTCACCGAAATAGTTGGTCTACAGTAACGCTCTAGACTTGTATCCGGGAGGTCTGAGTTCGAACCATAACCGGGACACCAAATTTCTTTGAGTTGTTTCGTGGTTTTCCTCAGTCTCTGCAGGAAAATGCCAAAACAGTACCTCGATTAGGCGACGACCGCTTCCTACCAAATCCTTTCCAGTTCATTAACAGTATTACCGTTCGATGCCATAAAGTCTAGTTACTGGCAGCATCGTAAAGTAACATTCAATAATTTTTATTTTTCAGTACTTTGTCATTTTATCTCTTCTGGGTCTAAATACCGTCCTCAGTACTTCGTTCCCTATGTATTTTCCATGAAAGCACTAAACGATACGTAATCACCCTGGTAGGAACACAACCCGTCATACATTGCTCACTCAGACCTCTGCTCATTGTTCTTTCCTCCCTTTGCAGACCGAAAGCTACTGTGGCTACCCCGAGCGTCTGCTGCTCCCTAAGGGCAAGAAGGGAGGCCAGGCCTTCACCTTCTACGTCATCCTGACGCCTTACAACCAGCAGGGCGAACATGACTTCGAGCCTTACAACTACAAGGCCTTCAGCTACTGTGGAGTTGGATACAACAACAAATATCCTGATGACAAGCCTCTTGGCTTCCCCTTCGATCGCCCCATCTCCGGAGCGGACTTCTACACCCCCAACTCGTACTTCAAGGACGTGGTTATCTTCCACAAGAAACAGGAGGATGTGAATGCAGCCACCACATACTGACGGCATGCCACAGAACTAGAGGAAAATATAAATATGTTAAGTTATACTGGACGGTCCAAAAGTCTCTGTGTTATGTAAATTAAATTGCTAACAAAATTAGACATAATGATTGTTTTGGAAATAATTTATTTCAATTGTATAATTATTCGAAGTCACCACACATTTCAAAATATATGCAAGCTACTCTGATGAAGAGTGGCATCCGCTCACCCAGGGACTTCTTGACCATTCTGTATGACCAATCCGTCCTTCGTTATCTGTCGATGAAAGGCATGGACCAGGACACTCTCCGGAATTTTACATGTTTAGAGACAATAGTTATGTCCTCCAGTACAAATGTCGTCTTTTTTACTAGCTTGCAATAAATGAAAGTGATTGAAAAGCTGCTTTTGATTTTGTGTTGTTCTCGAACTTCCATCATATTCCTTCAGAAACCTATCAGTGCACAAAAATCCATGCATTTGGTGATGAATGGTTTACACATATTTCATTCAAGCACACTGTGATTTCACATATCCTACCGACCTTCATGTTTATTTATTGGTGTTAGAAACCTTCAAGTGGGACAATTAACATTTATTTCTCCTTCACGACAACAAATGTCTAATTGCATTCATTTATGTAATAGACAGGATATATCTGGGAATTAAATTCAATTCCTTTACTTCAAAAGCCATCAGTTCCCATGTGGTTGCTACACTGTACCACCATTCACACAAAGTACCATTTAAATCTTCAATATCATGTTTCTGGACATCATCCACCATCCAATTTTTTTACTTTAAAACAAATTTTGGAGACATTGTTTTTAAATAAAAAACAGGTCAGTAGTTTAGATAAAAAAACAATGATAGATAATGTCCAGGAACATAATACATCCATATTATACATACATACATACATAGATACGGATACATACTGTATCCGTTTCTACGGACCATTGTCACAAACTTTTAGAGCTTATTCATACAACATACTCGCACTCAATTACATTTCTTTTCAATATATTATCAACAAAACTTACTTAAAATATCAACTTCAATTAGTAAGTAAAAAGTAAAAGTAAAGCCATCCCTGTAACAGGCCGCGAAGGCCCATAGGGTTGTGAGACGTTGAGGGTCCCACATTATCTAGACAATCAGCTCAAAGATGGCGGTAAGGTTGTCAGCCTTACACGCCAGCCATGCTTTACTCCCCAAGGAAATTATTTAATTCCTTGTACTCATTTCTGCTAGAGGCTGAGTTGACATCAGGGCCATAGTGTGCCTGGAAAGATTAGGTTAATTGAAGAAAATCCAATGACCTCATTGGGACTTGAACCCATGACCTTCCGACTTGTATTAGTATTTACTTAATTCCAAAAACTTGCTTATCACGCACCTATCATTATCTCGCTTCCTTACTGTAACCATGAACTGTATCTAGCAACAGCAAGGGAAAAAAACTGATCTGATGTAAAAGATACAAATTATTATTTTGCTTGTAGTTTGACTCGGACTAAACAGAATCAAATGGTATAAGTGGTGAATAATAAATAGTAGAGGATGCAAATGGGAGCACTCCTGTCTTAATCTGAGGTATTATCCTGGAATCTGCCTATAGGGAATAAGGAAAACCAGGGAAAACATGAATCAGAATAACTGATGTCTGGGTTGAGATTATAAATTGAGACCTCCCGAATATGGAAGGGTACTAAACTGCAGTCTTCATAGTCACCGCCATAAGAACCTCACATCTTCAAATTAAGTTATTCTAATCACTAAAATGCAGACACTCAAAAATACCGAATTTCATTAAAACTCATTAAACCATTTCAGAGATGAATCATGTTAAGTAGATAGATGTGCAAAAAATGAAACTTTTGAGAATAATCAACAGCAGTTTATCACAATATGTTTTATTGCTTTTGTAGTAATCATACAACATACCTCTGCTCCTCAAGGGGCCCAAGTGCCATACAAAACACATACATCACGCTATATCACAACACAGAACTACGTAAGTATATACAGTTGCTGGAAGGATGCTGTAGTCAAATAGACAAATATGAGGCAGTGTGCTCAACTGTCATGTCACAAGGAACTAAACATTACAAAATGAAATTACAATAAATAATACAACACAGAGTGAAAAAGTGGTGCTGCAGGAGCAAATGCTTTACCAGCTGATGAAACTGTCACACACCCACCCCCTCAGTTTAAAACACATTAACGTACTCAAAACTTTATCAAAATTTCCAAACACTGTCATGAATACTAGTTCTGGTACTGTAATTCTTACAACAGTCTTATTTACATTAATGGTTACAAAGACTAGCACAAAATAAATTTATTTCAGGAAGCAGAAAAACAAATGAAATGTCAAAATGTCAAATCCCTTCAACAGAGCCGGAGAGGTCAGTTGCTGGGTTCTCCTACGCAGTCATACCAATCATGCAGATGACCATTACACATTTTTTTCATTTATGTTTCAGGATTTGTTTTGACATTTACAGTACAGCCAACTTCAAAATATATTATCATTTACACACCACTGGTTCAGCTAAACATCCTAAAAGGATTAAAACACAAAAATTAGAAGCCTTCTGGGTTATAATGTCATGTGGGTTGGTGACAAACTGATGTTTCCGAGGAACTGAGCTGAGTTAAACCTGCACTTGTTTCTGCTCGTTTCTTGTTTGGCTTACTCTTTGATCCTGGAGATGGAGGTCCTATGTTCCTCCATTATTTTCGGCTCTCTCTCTGAAATACACAGAGTTACAACCAAAAAAACCAAACCCTTCACAGTAACAAACATGAGAATCCCAAATGTAACATAAAAATTAAAAAGTTTTGAACTGTGAATAAACTTAGATTTCATGATACTGAACTCTAAACAAGCAACAAAATATTGTTTTAACTTGTATTCTCAATACAATAAATACTGTGCCTCTAGTACAGTAAGTAGTTCTAGAACTGTGACCCACAGTCCACGTTGAACTATTAACAAGAGTTTATAAAATATAATTTTAACTGGCAAAGAATGAGTGTTACATCATCTACAAAAGCATTAAAATAATGAAAAGATGGAGACAGAAATCAATAAAGAACTTTAACAGCCCACAGTTACGAGTATTAATACTTCCATTGGCAAACCATGAACATATCACAATATAGCTGCCTGTATAACTGATGCCACATGCACAACAGTCAGTAATATTAGGTAATCACTCCAGAAATTTAATATCTTCTCATTAAAAAAAAAAGAGCCGGAAAAGAAAACAGTACTATAATCACTTTTTGTCTATGATGGTACATCAACCAAACTCCTGTTCAGCCCCATAAGGATGTGCGACCAAATGCCATTCAATCCTGCATCAGTTATAATTTAGCTTGCAGTAGATCTAATAAGGCTTAGACACTGTTGCAGAAGTAAAATAAGATCATATCCAAGTAGGAGACAAGAAATAAGGCTCTCAATGTTAAATACATCCATTTTGGTGACCAGTGCCCCAGCATCACAATGTAGGCCACAACCTGGTAACATTCCCCAACATACTGCAAAGAGATTATTCACGCCAGTAAAACAGAATGTAACCTACACAATCCACACCGACTCAATAAATTGCAGAGTAATGGGATGAAAATGCATGCCTTACAAAACAATGATGCAAAAAAGCGAGCAAGGATTGACTGACATTCATCAATCATCATTCCTAGTGAGGTACTATCAAAGCGTCACTGAGTCATGACTCACTTAGGAATATCGATGGCAGAGAGATTCAGAAAATGGAAGACAACTGAGTCCTAAGCTGTAAAGTTAGCACGACTCTTTACCCTAGATCATCATAACTGTCATCATTTCCAGTAACTTCTGTTTCAGTTGATTACTAAACAGTGTTGTCAGTATTGAGATTATGTGCCATCAATTATTTGAACACGGACTGATTGTGTGGAATAAAAATTGGCATGGAAAACTATGTCCTAGGAGAAAACCTGTCCCATTGCCACTTGTGCAAGGGATTGTGTGGAATAAAAATTGGCATGAAAAACTAAGTCCTAGGAGAAAACCTGTACCATTGCCACTTGTGCAAGGGAGTGGGTACAGCTCCTCTGTGTCTAAGCACCATGTTATAACAATATGTAGGGTATGTGGTGGTATGTCTCAACACAATCTACACTTTGGAGTACATGGAGGATTGTCAGTTTTATGTTATACGAAGGGGGACCCAAAAATAACCGGAAATGACCTGTTGCACGCGCATGCTNTCTCATAGTTACATTACTCTTACTGTAAGAGAAGCAAGTGCCCATGGAAAACACAATGGCTCCAGAGTCAATCTGGACACAGCAGCAACGAAGAGGAAAATCCCTACCATTATGGTAGCTGAAATAATTATTTTAATGCTTTTGTAGATGATGTAACACTCATTCTTTGCCAGTTAAAATTATATTTTTATAAACTCTCGTTAGTAGCCCAGCATGGACTGTGAGCCACAGTTCTAGTACGACTTACTGTACTAGAGGAACAGTATTTATTGTATTGAGAAGACCCAGGATCGAAACTGGGCCGCTGTGGTGGGAAGCCAGCGACTAACCGCTTGAGCTATGGCGCTATTTTTCATGCTTACATTCCCAGAAACAAAGATCTGTGTTCGATTCATGACAAAGGGAAAATATATAATAATTCTTAAACAATTTTCTACCAACAAGTTTGTTCACCAAAATATATAATTTATGTTGATGGTAGCCCACTGTGAGAACTCAACTACTGACTACAGCCACACTTTGCCACAAGGTTATGATTCTAGGATCAGTGGCCCATGCAGTATGGCTCTTGCCTTCAGAGTTTGAGATCCAAGTTCAGTTCTCGGTTAAGGCAGGTACATTTTTACTACATAAAGAACATTCTCCCATACAATAACTTCCAAGATGTGCAATTTACATATCAATTTTTTTGAAGAAATGCAACATGTGCCGTGAGTCTCCCTCTGTGATTTACTTGCTGCGTTGTAGTATCCGCTAATTTCTCTTATGAGCGAAGCCAATAGATGGTCTCCTGATGATTATAGACTGTTAGTAAATAATGTGAAAGTGAAACAAGTTATAAATTTAAACATAATTAGTGTCTTTGTGAAACGACCCGGCATCAAAGAATTGTAAACATTCCATCTTGTTTTGGAGTGTTTGTAAACAAATGCAATCGATCTTCGCTGTAGTCCGTAGAGTCTATTTTCTGATCGGCTAGAACGGAAATGGACACGAGGAGGAAATTTGTCACCATATGTTTCCCAGTTATGTTGTCCAATGAGATATAAATAATATAAACGCACGCAGTCACAGGAGCAAGACACAACACAGAGCACAATACACACATGAATGTAGAAAGAGTGCTCCCACAGAGTAGGATTGGCGTGATTCGTGTATTGAGATAAGACATATGACAAATCCTGAAAAGTTTTAATATTTAAAATTTATTATTATACATGACAAATATATATTTTAGTCATTTTAGTATGAAGACATCAGGGCATGCAAAGCAGTAGTTTGATGTGCATAGAGAAGCACCTGAAGATGGCACATTAGTGCTGAAACATGTAGTGCAAAAGAGAAGAGTAAGGTGAAAAAGTGTGTGCACTGTAAGACGGTTGGCATAAATCATGGACATGAATCAGTGCAACAGGATGCTAAAATATAAGATATAACCCCGTCACGAATACAAATAGAGCTGAGACGTGATAAATGAATTATTTTTGGTTAGTCCAGTTTCTCTCATATTATGAGATTTTGGTTTATTCAGGAAGTCGCACGTGAATATTCATCCAACATATTCAGTTGTTTTCAATGGTGATCCCCAAGATAAAAGTGTTCATATACGCATTAACTTTCTTAGGTTATGCATGGAGTTGTTATGGTTCAGGTATAATAAGCAACTTGCGGGATGCGGTTCTTGCCGCAGAACATGTATTTGGTGATATATTTGAGAACATCATCACAGTTGCTAAGAAATTTAAAATTGTAAAAGTATTCAGAATAAAGTCAGAAGTATGCGACAATAATATTACCATACTTTTGTGACTGTGGCATCTTGTGTTTCAAATATTTGCAGTGATGTTGCCCACTAGTATTCACAACTGTGAAGAGATGAAATAAGATGGTTTTGAGTGCAATTTAAGGTTCTCACAACAGTAGTTATGAAAAATTAAGTGTTTTGGTACTTACATGGCATTATATCCTAGAAGACAGAACTTTTCAAGAGTTTTATGATTTGTATAGCTCACATAATATTATGATACTGAAATAATTATAATTACATTAGTAATATACAAATGAGACTCTACAATTTTCCGAAACTCAGTTGGGTCCAATAGATAGAGCTAGCCCCTATCTCCTTTGTCCATAGATTGTCTATTGGACCCAACTGATTAGGTCTGACCTGAGGATGAGGACAGAATCCAGTCTCCGAAACGTTTTTAAAAAGAAACAAGACAGTTTTTAGAAACCAGACAAGACAGTGGATAATGTCTAAAAACATAATATTTTACTCAAAATTGTTAGAACTATTTTTGAGAAACTAGACTTCGTGTGCACGTGTGCAGGTGCATGCGAGTGAGAGAACATGAGTGTATGAGAGGGGGAGACAGGGGGGAAAGTGAAAAAGACACACCTGAAAGGCCACTAGTTTTGAAACTAGAATGTTCATATTCACCATGCACTCACCTACGATGTCATCTATGACCATTAAGCACTCATATACGAATATTATAAATTTATCTGCAGTATTAACAACATCGTAAATCCTTGTCTGATGTGTGGGATACGCCCTACAAAAACAACTTGATCCATGTCACACAAACTCAATGGGAACAACGGAGCTCAACATATGGAAAATAAAACAAATATAAACGCAGAAGCATTGCGAACAGGAGTTAAGACATTTGTGCACAGAATCAAGAACACTGTCAAGAGGCCATCATAAACCCTTCACTTCACACAGGGTTGCTACTTCTCTCACAACATTATGCAACCACTGCTCTGAAAATGCAACAAATGACAGGAACAGAGTTCCCACCTCATGACTCATAGTACGCGGGTTCAAATACCCGGTGGAGGTCATCGAATTTTTAAGGGCGGAAAAATTCAGGGAAGGACTTTAAGCCGTGGGTCCCGTGTCGTAGCTTTATGGCACGTAAAAGAACCTCATATCTCCAAAGGAGGTCACTGAGCCAAATTAACGGACGTTTCCCGCCCAACAGCAGTCTCTAATACCTCTGGTAGATGGGGGAAGCATTATAGATACCTCTCAGCTAGTAGAGCTGGTCTCGCTGGCTGGGCGGGACTGATGGTAAGCACCAGTACCGGTAGGATATAGAGACTGGTAGAAATCATAGAGGGAAGCACAATGGACCAATACAGGTCTCAGTGCATGGGGAAACCCACCCTCTCCAATAATTTACTAATTAACTACTGTCAGCAACCTTCTACAGCTCGCCAAACTCGCCACCTGTCGTGTACTTCTTCTTCCTTGGAATACAGTAGCACGCTTCCTTCTGACTGTCTATGTATGACTTGCAACCTAATGTTATTGTACCAGTGAATAACATCTTGGCTGCTGCCTTACATCCTGAAAGCAGATGCAATCATCAGTGTACCATACTATGAAATATGAAAATACACAAGAACATTAACAAAGGTCCCATTCTACTTACTGAAATGACATATCAGATATGACTAAACTGAATTAGATTTGATGGGGGGGGATCATTTTTTCTCTTCTTCAAAGCATGCAGCTTGGCTCTGGGTTGCACCCAGCCTCCCATCCAATGAGTATCGGGGGGTCATTTTCTCAGGGGTAAAGCAGCTGGAGCATGAAGCTGATCACTCACCTCTATCTAGTGCCAAGGTTAAGAATGTGTGGAGCTTTACTTCCACTCCACTACCAGTTTTCACTGCATGGTGCTACTTCAAGCACAGGGGCAGCCTTACCTTATACCTTAAGCGGCCTCCGTAGTCTAGAGGTAACGTTCCCACCTCATAACTCGTGGTACGGGGGTTCAAACCCGGCGGAGGTCGTGGAATTTTTAAGGGCGGAAAAATTCAGGGAACAAGTCCTCTGGGAGGGACTTTACGCCGTGGGTCCCATGTCGTAGCTTTACAGCACGTAAAAGAACCTCATATCTCCAAAGGAGGTCACTGAGCCAAATTCAGGATGTTTCCCGCCCAACAGTAGTCTCTAACGCCTCTGAGAGATGGGGGAAGCATTATAGATACTGCTAAACCAGCAGAGGCGAACTCGCTGGCTCGGTTGGGACTGATGGTACGCACCAATATCGGTAGGATATAGAGATTGGTAGAATATCATAGAGGGAAGCACAATGGACCAATACTGGTCTAAGTGCATGGGGAAACCCACCCTCTCCAATAACTAACTAACTAACTAACTACCTTATACCTTACGTATGACTGAAGATTTAATGATGGTGCCCCTTTACGCATGTTGTTCATACCTTTCCCTATTGTCTGACCAGCCGCTACCTCATATTTTTCACACGCTTTGTACAGGCATCGCTTGAAGTCAAAATCACACTGTTCCTTATCTTGTCCACAAGTATCATAACAAATATCATGATCATCACAGCATACTGTCATCTCATTCACTGGCAAATTTTCTGTGGGTATCTGAAAAGAATTTTGGAAACGTGGTTAATAACAAAATATGGTTCACAGTACCGACATTTTAATGGTACGAGTATAGTTTCTTACTTATTATTTAGTTCAAAACTAAGCACAATAGATCACTGTAGGTTGCGGTGCAAGGGCCGAGAAGGCCCACCCCTTATACATTCATTCATCAGTTCAAAAGTGGTTACCTCATTTAACTCCCACTTACACAACAGCTGCATTCTCAAGTTGGTGCATAACTCAAAATTGCTGCTACTCCTTTGGTTTTGGTGCCATTATGTTTTATTAAAAAAGTCAAAAAGCTATTAAGTTTAATACAGTTGTGCTGAATTTAAGTTTCTCACATTAGTAGCTATGAACCATACTGTGGTATGACGCCTGCAAGCTGGAATAGTGGAGCCAAGCAGCCGTTCATTGCTGGGCAATGACTCGGTAAACAAGTTCCTGCAGGAATGAACATGCATGCAACAACAGAAGAAGTACTATTTCTGTGCAAGGCAAGGTAAACAAACCTCTATAACAATAGTGGAATTGTTAGGAAATGGGGTTTTCTGTTGGGGCCACCCCGAGGCTATATAACGAGGAACTCAGGCCAGCTTGAATCAGAATTGAGGGAGTCTCACGAGACGGCAATCGAAGGTGATTGAGAAGAAATGGCAAGAGAGGAATTTGGCTGTGTAAAGATTTCATGCTGTACATACAGTGGGACTGTCATAAATCTGTTGCTAGGGAATGGCTGGTGAAGAAAGCGGGATGGAAAAGGCTTAGCAGGTCCTGCTATGATTTTTAAAGTGTGAGCATCACTGAAATTGTTATAATTAATTGTAGTTACAGTTTGTAAGCATACATAAAATCATTCACCAATCCATACCCAGTCTCTAGTCACTCTAAAATGTACCAATATTATCTTCTTCGGTGTGATGCTGAGTATAAGACTACATGGTAATACATTCCAGAAGACAGTACTATTCATATTCACTGCTGAATTTCAGATAATTATGGGGAGACTATTTCATGCAACATCTGCAGATCTGAGAAGCTTCAGGTGGACTCCTATAAGACTACATACTGTTACATAGCAAGATGTTACTCTCATTATGATACATCAGTTATTTACAAATCCTATTTGTTTTCAGTTTTAGACAAATAATTTCACTGTGCTTCAGCTGTCCCCAAAAACACTCAATTACATGAAACTGTGTTAATGTGAAATTAAAATTAAGGTGTATACTTGTATGTACGTACATAAGCACACAGTAATTTTACCTTATTTCTATAATTTTTAGATGTCACTTCTTATTTTACAGAATAAATGTAGTTTGTCTTCCAAAAAGAAAACAAATCAGGAAAATATTTTGACCTGTGAAATATGAGCAAGTGAAGAAGTGTGGAACTATGTGATTTATAGAGGTCTCTCAGTATTCAACAGTCAAATGAAGGATTCTAAGCCAGTTCAATCCATTTCATATACAGCCTTCCCTCAAGATAATTTTGAAATTATACTGCCATATCCTTCTGTTTTCAGCTCTCTTAACAGAATTTGTTATGTATCTCTTGTCTTTCCGTCTAAACTATATGTCCTGCCAATCACATTTTATTTTATTTCAATATCTTAATAATATTATGTGAGCTATACAAATCATAAAACTCTTGAAAAGTTCTGTCTTCTAGGATATAATGCCATGTAAGTACCAAAACACTTAATTTTTCATAACTACTGTTGTGAGAACCTTAAATTGCACTCAAAACCATCTTATTTCATCTCTTCACAGTTGTGAATACTAGTGGGCAACATCACTGCAAATATTTGAAACACAAGATGCCACAGTCACAAAAGTATGGTAATATTATTGTCGCATACTTCTGACTTTTTTCTGAATACTTTTACAATATGGCGATCATACACGTCACTAAATTTGAAGTTTCTTTGTAGTTACCACACCTACGATAAAACTACTGAAACCTATCCAACCTTCCGAATTTTAAATTTTATTAAAGAATAACAGAAACCACTCCAGCAACATAAATAACAAAACTAATCATCATATTATAAATATGTGCTGCTTTGCATGTAAGTTTTTAAAAAGTATAAAAGGTAGACTGGTCAGTTAACACAAGTCTAACCTTCAATCCAAGGGAGCCACAACCATCACTGCTAGGCTTGTGGTACTTATTTTTCACTGCTTTACCACCTGAAAACAAACAATTTGATCAACATCCTACACATTCTTCATACTCCAATTCAAGCTGATCCAAGTGGTATCCATGACGTGAATACATGTACTTCCAGCAGCTGTTCTATTTTCCTTCTTACCTTCGTTCCATGCCTACTTACAATGCCATTCTACATATCCTACAAATCAATAAAATACCTACCATCTGGACAGGAGTATTTACATTCCTCTTCTACAGCAGCATCAAATACTTCATGAACAATTTTAAATTTCTTAGCAACTGTAATGACGTTCTCAAATATATCACCAAATACATGTTCTGCGGCAAGAACCGCATCCCGCAAGTTGCTTATTATACCGGAACCATAACCACTCCACGCATAACCTAAGAAAGTTAATGCGTATATGAACACTTTTATCTTAGGGATCGCCATTGAAAACAACTGAATATGTTGGATGAATCTTCACGTGCGACTTCCTGAATAAACCAGAAACTCGTAATATGAGAGAAACTGGACTAACCAAAAATAATTTATTTATCACGTCTCACTTCTATTTGTATTCGTGACGTTCGTGACGTGGTTATATCTCATTGGACAACATAACTGGGAAACTTATGGTGACAAATTTCCTCGTCGTGTCCATTTCCGTTCTAGCCGTTCTAGCCAATCAAAAAGTCGACTCTACGGACTACAGCGAGGATCGATTGCATTTGTTTACAAACGCTCCAAAACAAGATGGAATGTTTACAATTCTTCGATGCCGGGTTGTTTCACAAAGACATTAATTACGTTTAAACTTATAACCTGTTTCGCTTTCATATTATTTACTAACAGTCTATAATCATCAGGAGACCATCTGCTGGCTTCGTTCATAAGAGAAATTAGCGGATACTACAACGCAGCAGGTAAATCACAGAGGGAGACTCACGGCACATGTTGCATTTCTCCAAAAATATTGATATGTAAATTGCACATCTTGGAAGTTATTGTATGGGAGAATGTTCTTTATGTAGTAAAAATGTACCTGCCTTAACCGAGAACTGAACTTGGATCTCAAACTCTGAAGGCAAGAGCCATACTGCATGGGCCACTGATCCTAGAATCATAACCTTGTGGCAAAGTATGGCTGTAGTCAGTAGTTGAGTTCTCACAGTGGGCTTCCATCAACATAAATTATATATTTTAGTAAACAAACTTGTTGGTAGAAAATTGTTTAAGAATTATTATATATTTTACCTTTGTCAAGAATCGAACACAGATCTTTGTTTCTGGGAATGTAAGCATGAAAAATAGCGCCACAGCTAAAGCGGTTAGTCGCAGGCGGCCCGGTTTCGATCCTGGGTCTGGTCAAGTGGGATTTTTGGGGGACAAAGTGGCACTGGGGCAGGTTTTCTCCGAGTACTTCGGTTTCACCTGCCAATCTTCATTCCACCGATTGCTCCACAATCACCCTCACCTGTCAACTGGGGCTGGTACAATAGGCCAGAAGTGGCCGCAGTACAAGGGACTTAGTCCCACCCCACTAGCAATAAAAAAAAAAGAATAAAAAATATTTCCAAATGTAAGATTTGAGGCTTTCACGGCGGTGACTATGAAGAAAGCAGTCTTCTGGGATTTGGCGCCGTGTATATGTGGTGTTAACCGACGTTTCGGAGGAACGTATCGCCCCCATCTTCAGGGTTGAAGAAAAAGTATAGGTAAATCTGCAAGCGACAACACCGTGAGACACGGTAAAGCAGACTGATTTACCGTGTCTCACGGTGTTGTCGCTTGCAGATTTACCTATACTTTTTCTTCAACCCTGAAGATGGGGGCGATACGTTCCTCCGAAACGTCGGTTAACACCACATATACACGGCGCCAAATCCCAGAAGACTGCTTTCTTCATATTTCCAAATGTTTTATTTTCAACTTTAATCGTTTCTTGCATCCTGTTGTGTGTTTAATCAATAGTAGAGTCAATTTACCGACTACACAACACGTTTTTTATTATCACTACATGTTTCGACCTCAAGAGGTCATCCTCAGGTGTACAAACACGGTTGTATAATTACACACGGTCACATACCTGTGTTGTGTAGTCGGTAAATTGACTCTACTATTGTTTTATTTTCCTTACAGGATACGGTGAATTAAAAACACTTTTTCTTATATTGCAGCCACAGTGTGTATGGCTGTTACCCTCTTTAAGTTTATGATACATCCCACCTGTGACCATTTGTGATCCATTTTTATTAACTGCATAATGAAAATGGGGGAATACATTAATTAACAGAAATAATTAAATAGTCATAATTTACTTTCACTATTTAGGTGTTAAAGAATTCTTTATCTTCAGTTCCACCTGGTTTTCTTTCACCTTCCTAATGGCATTTTCTAAAGCAAAATTGAAGAGCAGTGGCGATAAAGCATCTCTTTGTTATAGACCATTCTGGATATGAGACTTATCAGACAAATGTTTACCTATACGGATTTTACTATACATTTCATTTAAACACATTTTAATCAGCCTGGCTGGTTTCATGGGTATACCAAACTCTATCAGAATATTGTACAATACTTCCCTCCTAACTGAATCATAGGCTTTCTTAAAGTCTATGAATAGCTGATGTACTGTCTCATTGTACTCCCATTTTTTCTCCAATATCTGACAAATGCAAAAGATCTGATCAGTAGTTGATCTTTTACGTTGAAACCCACACTGATGATCCCCAATAATTTCATCTATGTACGGACTTAACCTTGAGAGAAGAATATTGGATAAAATTTTGTATGAAGTTGATAGCAGTGATATCCCCCGATAATTGCTACAGTCAGTTTTATCACCCTTCTTGTGAACTGATACAGTAATGGACTTCTTCCACTGATCAGGCAGTTTTTCCTTATGCCAAATAGAAATAATTAGCTTATGGATCTTAGAACATATATTTCACCCCCTGTTTGAATAAGTTCTGCCAGAATTTGATCACTACCTGGCAATTTATACCTCTTCAATTTTGCAATAGCACTTTTATCCTCAAAAGGGCTATGATCAGGTACTAATGGCTCAGGTGTATGTATTTCTGTCTGCCTAACATCACTGCCCCTATGTACATTCAATAACAGAGAGTAGTAGTTTTACCTATTCAAAATGTTGTGGGGATCTGCAAGCAGATCACCATTCTGATCCTTCACTAAATTACTTCTAGGTTGGTAACCCTTCTTAAAGTAATTTATTCCTCTATACAGGTCTCTATAATGTTCTTGTTCTTACTGTTCATTGCAAGCTCATCAATTTTGTCTTTCAGATATTCTCCCTTTTTATTCCCAAAATGCCTGCTGGTTTCACGTCTTATATTGTTCAGATTATCACCATTTTTTTTCCTCGCTTGGATCTTGTAACCACTGCAACTTGGCTTTTTGCCTTTGGTCTAATAATTTTGAGCATCCTTCATCAAACCATGGCTCATGCTTCTTCAGTACATAATAACCTAGACTCTCTTTGGCAGAGATTTTGATATTCGCTCTAATGGTTTCCCAAGCTTTATTAACGTCCATCTCAGTGTCTTAAGTTTTCCAAAGCCATGAACCTATTTGAGAGTTCAACACGATACTGCTCCTTAACCTCTACCTCATTTAATTTCTTGAAATTGAACCTCTCTATATGAACTCTGTGCGTTGTTTGCTTATTCACTGCCAGTTTTTTCCCTAACCTTTGCCACCACCAAAGAGTGGTCAGTATCACAATCTGCTGCCCTGAATGATCAGACATCAAGTGTACTCCTACAACAGACTTCCAGAAGTAAATGTTTAACATTTTAATTTTCTTTTATTCCAATGTCTGTTTTAATTCGCTTCAAATTTTAAGGGGCTGAAGAAATGCACAGAGCTTCATTATTACACTCTCCAGCAACAAGAGACCACTTGGAAGACCTGAACATAAATGGGAGGCTAATATTAAAATGGATCTCAAAGAAATAGGGCATGAGGGTGTGGACTGGATACATGTGGTTCATGGTAGGAGCCATTGGTGTGCTACTGTGAATGTGATAGTGAACCTTTTGGATTCCATAAACGGCAGTTTGACTGACTGACTTGAGTTAGCATCTCAAGAAGAACTGTGCTTCATAAAGTTATTTGACAGTTTTAAGATATATTTCAAATTACAGCATGTCCTACCCTATACCCACCGAATTCTGTATCTGCTTACATATCATGTAATGTAATTCTATGCATTCAGTTCTTCTGTTAGCGAATTTGTTAAATATCATGGAATGTGACATCACAACTGGCTATGGGCTGGATGACAGAGGGGTTGGATTTTAGAGTCCTGGAGGGGTCAAGAACTTTCTCCATGTCATCCAAACTGGCTCTGGGGCCCACCCAGCGTCCTATCCAATGGGTACCGGGACCTCTTTCCCTGGGGGTAAAGCAGCCGGGGCGTGAATCTCACCATTTACCAACTAGTGCCCAGGTCAAGAAAACGTGGATCTATACATACTCTCTCCCATGTCTTTATGGCGTAGTAATTAATTGGTTAAGCACAGGGACTTTACTTTTACCTTTCAATATGCCTACATTCTTTCCTCCCTTGATATTGTGATATTCACAATTTAATTTTCATATATATATATATATATGTGTGTGTGTGTGTGTGTGTGTGTGTGTGTGTGTGAAACTTCTATTCTTCCTTCTTGCACGCAGACAAAACACAGAACATTCTTTGCCTGTGTATGTTGTATTTTTAGGTGCGTCACGTTCCCTCAAAGCGCGTATTAAAATACTTCCGTTCGTCTTCCCGAGTGCATGAAAGAACTCGAAGATAACTGAACGGAATTCCATTAAATTTTATGGTTTTACAAAAATATATCTACACATACCAGTTTTGGTTAAAACAACGAAAACGGGCATTGTATATGAAGAACTACGTATGTAAATTCCGAAATATCAAACATGAAAACCCATTTGGCGCTTCGCAGATTGTTACCTGCAAAGTCGTGACAAAACTACGCGCATTTTTGCAACTTTTAGTTGTGATCGCGCCAGAAAGGGTTCCAATATTAGAGTATCCATAGTTCTAAGGTTTAGTATATTATATAATTTAAATATACGTTACATTTTAACTTTCCAGTGATGTCTTCGAAGTTACACCCAGGCCATCCGAATGACAGCTGATCCGCTCCAGATACATAACCGTTTTCACCGTAAATAGCATGCAGCAAGCAGTTAACTGTTGTGTTCGAGATTTCATTACTCTATAAAGAATTTTCTGCCTTTCTGGTTGAGATCGTAGCCTGCCGGTTACTCACACGTTAAATGAAAAGCATCCCACTGTGTACCGTAATTATTTTATATAACCGATCGCGAAAATATCGATAATTATCGCCAAGTGCAGATTCTATGCAGGAACACGAAAACATTAATTTTTCATTGATAAAATCCATACTATTTATTTCTTTAGTCACCTAAGACAAAACTGATTTTATATTAATTTATCTTAATACAGATATTTTGTTTAAAAATTTGTACTTGTGATTGTATTTCGAGAAGTCGCATTTGTTACCGCGTTATAATATTGCGTTCCCGCTTCCGGTACACCATTTTGTAGCGCGCATTACAAACGACAGTGAGTACCCAACATTGTAACAATTCTTGCTGTCCCTTTGAGGTTTGAAATTAATTACATCCTTTGCTTGATTTATTTGCTATATCTATGGGTCAGTGTAACAGCCATGTGGTCATCTGTGATAGGAAGTTTAATTTCGATTATTAAATCTACCGGCAAATGTAACGAAGTTTGAGATCGTTATATTGTCGTGTGTATTAGAGTTGTGACTATTAGACGGGGTTTTGATTGGCTGATTGGATTTATGGCATTTATACACTCAACTTGTAACTACAAATAAAACAGCGATATCGCTTTTACAGTTCACCGTTACACACACTAGGGTTTTCAGTCTTCACTAGTCATATCCTGGCAACGAATTTCAATACAGTAATTATACCAGTGTCACTGTAACTGCAGCACTCTTGCAACACAACTAACTCTTTGCCATCTCTTCTCAGTCACCTTTGACTGTCATCTCAAGAGACTCAATTCTTATTCCAGCTATCCTGGGATCCTTGTCATATAGCCTCAGGTCAGACTCATAGAAACACCGTTTCCACCATTATGCCAGCAATACCTCAATTGTTGCTTTCTTATTTGTTGCCGCGGGAACGTGCTTACCGAGACGTTATGTAGCAGTGACCGTTACTCTGGCTCCACTATTCCAGCTTTCAGACGTCATGTCACAGTATCTTACAAGTTTTGCAAATGTGGCAGTTTATTTTCGTTCAGACTACCTATTTATAGATCATAGTCCTCAAAAGCAGGAGTAGCCATTTCTTGAATGAAGTAACTAATAATTGCGCATGTACAAATGTACAATTGCATAATGTACTTCCATATAGCCGTTTTCTGTTTCTTTGAATGCTGACACAAATACCAACTGCCCAGTCATTTCTGTTAAAGGCTTAACACTGGATCTTTTTTCTTTAACCTGTTTAATCAATTTGGTAATTTGTTGAGAAATACTATATTGTAGGATTGATTTTCTCAGATTTGTTGCACATACTACAAGACTGTTTTGAAATGAGACATATTTTAATTTTAAGTGATTATAAATGTTATATTATGGCATGATCGCTGCTAGCATTTTCTGGGGTGGGGTGGGGGGTTTCATACAAACTTTCATTTAAACCATTTAAATTCATTCTGTTGCTCACCCTAGTATATTCAAGAAGGAATATGTTTTTCAAATAATTTTAATCTTTGGATTGATTATGTAGTAGATTTCTTTCTCTTTAAATTTGCTAAAAGATCTGGGTGGAGGGGGGGCAGATGCCTATCCATCTTCATGTGTAGTAAATAACACACGGTCAAAATCAACATGTAATAATAAATAGTCCAAAAACCCAGTAATTCTGTGTGTCGTCCACCACCATCAGAACCCTTTAGAATCTATAATAATTAATGTTTCATAATATTGTCACGATTTTGTGGAGTGACTATAGACAGAATTTTGGTTTGTAATTGGATTTATTAAACACTTATAGATCATAACTAAGAATAACTATAGAACACTAATTCACACACTGCAGTTCACTACAGCACAAACTAAGTCTTCTCAGTCTGCTCTGTCTTCATCAGTCGTTGTCTGGTTACAGCTTCCAATGCTGTTGATCCCTCAACTTCCATGCTCACAGCTTCATGTCCTTGCTGGCTGTCCATCTCACTGCAGATCCTAAGCTATCTAACTGGCTCCCAAATGCTAAACTCACTCACAGAGACAGAGTCAGAGTTTACAGCCAATCAGTTCATCTCGGAGCCAAGTCCCTTGAGGCTCATGACCTGAGATTTTTTAACTAAACCCTTTGGGTCATAATCTTTGTGTAACATCCCCTCTGATGAGAGGATGGGTTTGTCTGTTATGAATATGCTTGGCCTTGTCAAGTGCACACATCACACATATTGGATGCTGTTGAAAAATCTTGCGTTTGCACTTTATACAAGTCCTGCCAGTCCAGGCTTTGTGAAGCAGATCATGCCCCTCGTACTTATTTTATGCTACTGCAGCAGCTTAGTCACTGGAACCTTTGTAAGCTTGACCATGACCAAGATGCACAGTCGACTACTTGTGTAGCCTCGGCATGGACCACACAGGAAATAATTCTCCCAACAGTTCTTCTATTGTTGCATCAAGTAACTGCCACATGAGCCTCATAGCGAACACCATTCCTCTGTTTCTGTTTGCAGGCCATTACCTAGCAACAGCTGCTTATTTCATGGTCATTACATAGAAACGGGTATGCATGCCACAGTATGTCCAATTCCTGGCAGAGGCAAGCAAGTTTTCTTTTCTCCATAGCATAACTCAGTTGGTAAAGCGACTGGCTATGGACTCGATAACCAAGGGGTCGGAGTTCAAGTCCCTATAGAGTCAAGGATTTTCTCTTCTCCACTTCATGCAGACTGGCTCTGGGGTCTGTCCAACCTCCTGTCCAATGAGTAGCGGGGGCTCTTTCTCTGGGGGGGGGNCTCTATTCATCCACTCCACCATATGCCTTTATGGTGCAGTGCTTAATTAGATAGTCACAGAGACAACTTTACCATAGCATGCAGACCAGCTCTGCGGCCAACCCAACCTTTTATCCAATGGGTACCAGGGGATCTTTCCTTGGGAGTAAAGCGGCTGTAGCATGAAGCTCACCACTGACCTTCAGCTAGTGCCAAGATCAACAGTGATGGAGCTAGACCTTCACTCCCCTATATGTCTTGATGGCATGACAATTAATTATGACAGGGGCACCCTTTCTGTTAACATTTGAAAGGAAAATCTCATTACAGTAAATGTCATTTATCATAATGTACCTTTCCAGATGTCTAACAGGTAACAACACGCAGGACAATGGTTCATTTGGATTGGAAGAGGCTGCTCTCCCTGTCGCCTGAGGACCTGACTGATGAGGAAAAGGATGACTTGTATGGGAGCCTCATATGGTACAATCCAGAACCCAACATAGATGCAGATCATCTGAAGGTCCTGTTTCGTGTCACTCAGGATATACTCAAATACAAGGGAGAGCAGGTATGCAGGAGCATAACACTGTAACTTTTATTTTGTTTTGGAGCAGTTATTTTCAATGTATCAGTGGCCACTTAGGTGCTAGATGTCAGCTCGTCTAACCCACCATTATTTCCCTGTATGCCGCTGCACTATTGTCTTCTTCTTAGCTTGTTGCTGCCACCATGAGACTCACTAGTTCTCTTTCACAGCACACACTGTTTCTCTGCCTATGAACACTACATGCCACTTCCAGAGCAAAAAGTACAGTTGGGGAGGCCCCTATTAGTAACAGCGAATTAAATACATCACACTTGATGCCATCTAGTGACAGATATGCTGTACTAAGTAATCATTCTGGACACAGACACCTCTAGCTGCTGGATAGTATGATCTTTACCATGTGTGGGATATAAATGACAGAACATTACAGTGTTATTGCATCATCATCCCTCCAAGTACTGAGCCTAATTATCCCATTATATGTATCATAGAAACAACAGAACTGTACTTGTGGTCTGAAATTGTAAAAATGTGAAAAGCCCTTTCTCTATAGGGTCTGGCAGATGCCAAGAAATCTCTTAAATATCAACAACATACAAACTTATATGTAAGAAAGAGACGTCTTCATTAATCTGCGACTGAAAATGATGCAACTTGTGCAGGTCGAGTCACTGGTCGTGGAGCTTGACGACCTCGCTGTAAGACAAGGAGAAGAGGAGGCTAGGAGGCATCAGAACCTAATTGAAGAGGTCGAAGATTTACGTGCCCAACTGATTCTTGCAAAGCGGGATACAAGCCATGCATCAGGAGAAGGTCAGTGAAGGGTGGTTAATATACACACCGCGCAGTAGTGTAGTGGTTGAGGGCTATGCTACAAGCCAGAAGGTCGCGGGTTCAAGTCCCGATGAGGTCATTGGATTTTTTCAGTTGACCTAATCCTTCCAGCCGCACTAGGCCCTGGGGTTTACTCAGCCTCTAACAGAAATGAGTACCAGGAATTAAATAATTTTCCTGGGGAGTAAAGCGCGGCCGGCGCATAAGACTGACAACCTTACCGCCATCTTTGAGCCAATTGTCTAGATAATGTGGGACCCTCACCGTCTCACAACCCTATGGGCCTTCACGGCCTGGTACAGGGATAGCTTTACTTTTACTTTTTTTTTTTTTTTTATTCAAAATGTTGTGGGGATCTGCAAGCAGATCACCATTCTGATTCTTCACTGATGAAAAAGAAGAAGAAATAATTTATATTCCTATACAGTGTAATGTCTGTCTTATTGATTAGCATTATCAGCAGATTTGTACTGGAAATAAATGGATATTTACTTTCATTTATATTTTTTCATGTGCAGATGCTGAAGACCTGAAACAAGAGTTGGTGAAGTGTGAACTGCACAATGAAGAACTGCTGGCCGAACTGAAGGCCCGTGAGAAGGATATTCTGATGGAGAAACGGGAGGCTGAGAAGGTGGAGTGTGTCTTGAATCTTAAGTGAATTAATGATCTTGGTTGGATTGTTATAAGTTGCTCCAGCTGTAGTATTTCACAGCTCTAACATAAAAAATGGGAGGTAAAGCTATCCTTGTAATTGGCTGTGGAGGCCCGTAGGGTTGCGAGACATTGTCTAGAAAATGCAGGAGCCTCAGTCAGCTCACAAATGGTGGTTAGGTTGTCAGCCTTATGCACTGACTGCCCTTTACCCCCAGGAGGATCCCTGGCACTCATTTCTGTTAGAGGCAGTCAACCCCAAGGCCTAAGTATGGCTGGAAGGATTAGGTGTATCGAAAAATCCAGTATCCTCATCAGGAATGAAGCCCATGACCTTCCAGCTTGTAGCATAGTGTCTCAACTAAGTACACTACCGTGTCCCCCAATTCATAACTGTAAACACATTGAACTAATGAAAACCTAAACTTAAATGTAACTTGGCCTACATTTTGGAAGTAGAACTTCCTCCGCATTACTTATAATGCTTATATCACTAAACCAGTCTTGTCTGCGATAACTGCCATCACAGTAAGAGGCCATGCACTGCATTACTGTAACATTGCATGTGTGTGGTCCATCTGGCCAAATGTTGAATTTTTTTCTTTCAAAACTAAGAGCACTACCCCAAGTTAATATATGGCCACCAGCCTCACAGCACAGGAAGAAGTAAAATCTCTGTTCTCAGACAATAAACTATTACTCCCAGGTTAAAATCTGATAAAATCCCCTATTCCTGTAATACAGTCCATTACCCCAAATTAAAATCCTGTCACTGACATTGCAGTATCAGGAAATCTGAAATCACATATTCCTGGATCATATAAGTTAAGAGATACCAACCTAACCATTACTTCCCTTACACCCATGAGGTAGTTTGGCCAGTAATGAATCTAGTCATCTGGCTCCATTCTACTTATGTAATTTTCAAGGTAGCTGTTAAGTTACATTTTTGTTAAAAATGACATGAACGTTCAAACTCACTGCAGATTGCTGGACAAGTGGCCCAACTGGAAAGGGAAAAGGCAGAGCTGCAGAGAGAGTTGGTGGCATTACAAAATGAAAGCAGTGAACATCACAGCACAACACAGCGAGCAGAGTCACCAGAATTTGTCGCAAAGAAACAGCAAGAAATGGCCAACATCATTCGGCAGAAGAACAGACATATCTCACAACTTCTAAATGATGTTGAGGTAGAAGGAAACTCTTTCAACTAGACTAACCAGTTAGGATTTCCAGCATGAGTAACAGCAATTGTGTGTGGTTCTCAGTTGTAATTCTGTAGCTCTATTTTCCGTTAGGCACACAGAGCAAGTTAGTAGACTGATACAGCAGTAACCAGTCAGGCTTATAACCAGAAGGTGCTCAGTTTGAACCTCAACTGGGAAACCGGCTATCCTGACTGAGGTATTGATGTGGCTTTCCTGCTGGCTAAATGCCAGGACGGCCGGTCACGGTAGCCAAGTGGTCTAAGGCATGTACTGCCTTCGCTCGCTTGGAAACCGGGATCGTGGGTTCGAATCCCGCTCAGGGCATGGATGTTTAGTTTGTATGTGTGCGTTTTTCTGTGTTTGTGCACAGGTAGAGGCCTTGCGATGAGCTGATCACCCGCCCAAGGAGTCCTACCGATTGTGTAAGATCTAGAAAAACCAAAGTGAACGGAGAAGTTCATGGAGGTAGGCCTAGGCCCACTGGGGCTGTAGTGCCAAGGAAAAAAAAAATGCCAGGACAATGCCTTAAATTAGGCCATAACAACAATCTTTGCAATTCATTATTTGCCCTCATTCAGTCATTCGACGCCGTCCGCAGTGGAACCCCATTTCATTTTCCTTGCTTTAAGACTCTCTCATTTAACATTCAATTTCAGTGATCCCAAATCAGTAATCTCAGTTTTAAATATCCTCTATTTAAGATTTACCGCAGTTCTGTATTCAAATCACATGCTCCAAAAAGAACCCTTAAATGAGGATATCAGTGTGTAGTCTGAGTTAGTGACAGCATTATTAAATCAACTATTAATGAAATATAATACAGGTGTCCATAAAATTCCTACCTATTTTGTTATTGTGAATATCATGAATTAATTTATCAGCATGCCCAGACTTGTGACATTTCCTTTCAAACTTGTCTTTGACATGACCCTTGGATTCATAATGGTACTATTAGCATATGTGCTTATACATTCACTGTCACTTGTGTCCTGCAATAAATAATAGGAGTTACTATTACTTCACTACTGGTCACAGTAGCTGAGTGGTGTAAGGCATGCACTGTCTTTGCTTGCTCGGAAGCCGGGATTGTGGGTTCAAATCCCACTCAGGGCATGGATATTTAGAGAGAGAGTGTGTGTGTTGTATACATGCGTGTGAGTGTGTACAGGTAGAGGTCTTGCAACAAGCTGATCACCTGCACAAGGAGTCCTACCGAATATCTAAGATGTAGTAAACCAAAGTGAAATGGAGAGTTTCATGGAGGTAGGCCAAGGCCAAAATTGGGGCTGTAGCACCAAAGAAAAAAAAACTATTTCACTAATTACATAAGGACTTTATGGATATGCTGTACTTGATATTGTTGTTATGGGTATCCCTCTGCTAACATTATAGGCTTTTGTAATTCTAGTTGCATAATACAATATCTTTCATTGGCAGTCAATAGATGCAGACACTTAGCTGATCACAGATTCCTGTTATGCAACCGAAATGATTTGTAACCATCATCACAGAAGTCTACCACTGGACCCTGTCTTGTTTTCATCACAGTCTGTCCTTTTGTGCTCCACCGTAATATTCTTTCCTGTCTTTCCCAAACAGTCCTTCCACTTGATGTTTTCCAACCAAAATATTACATGAAAACAACAGTGACAGGTTTGTTCCTCTGCCCCCCTCACCACAAGTGACAGGTTGTTTTGAGCACATTTACCAAGAAAGCAAATTACTTTATTGAAATGACTTAATAAGGGATATAGAATTCAAACAACACATCTACAAAATTTGTATTCCAACCCATCATCTGTGGGTACCCACAGTAGCCACAGAAGAGCACTGAACACTATAGCTGATCACCAGTGTGTTCTTAGTTCTTGGTGCCACATGTGAGCTACATGACCCTCCCATCTCAGTTTTCTTGAATTATTCACCTAATCAAATTCCAGATTCTCATTTTTTGCAGTCTTTTGCTCCTCATCATCAATTTGCTTTTTTAAAGGTCTTCCTCACTCTCATCCTAGTACAGTGTAGTCCTGTATTATGTAATCTCTCTTAAGGCCCGTCCGCATTACTCGTGCTCCTTGAGCTTACTGCTGCCAGAAAATCAGGATCTGGAGCTGATATCTGTTGTGAAGAAATGCAAAGGCTTTGTATGCAAACCAGTTTGGGCATCCACTTCATCAGCTCCAGATCCTGATTTTCCGGCAGAAGTGAGCTTCTGACGCACGAGCACGAGTAATGTGGATGGGCCTTAAGGTGAAAATATTCTTGACGGAACTTTATTTCCAAAAACCCTACATCTGTGGTCTTCTCTTAGCATGAGAGACTAAGACAAGGCTTTAAAGGTTTAACAGAGGACTTGTAAAGGTATTAAGTACACAGTTAATAACTGTAATCTGCTGGTAATTTTGCAAGGATATTGTTAGGTCCTGAAGAATATCATGTTCTGGGGTGTCATGTCATGTAGTCTGGATAGAATTCTTAGAATAACACAAGGATGTGATTCTTTGTAGACAGTTGAGAAAGAGAACCTGATGCTACGTGAGAAGTTGTCAGACCTGCGAGATGAACTGACTGAAGCCACGAAACACATCACCGAGATGACAGGCGAACTCACAGGCGTGAAACACACATGTCAGGAACAAGAAGGTAATGTGCCATCTCAGTAATTTATGTTATCAATCGGGTGCATTTTTGCATGCTAGTTCACTATCCAGTGACCACCTCTGTGGTCTAGTGGTCAGAGTTCCTCGCTACAGACCCAGAGGTCTGGGGTTCGAGTCCCGGCGCTACAAGATTTTCTGAGAAGTAGTGGGTCTGGAACGGGGTCCACTCAGCCTCATGAGGATAATTGAGGAGCTACTTGAATGCAAAAGTAGCCGCTCCGGTCTACAAAACCAAGAATAACGGCCATGGAAATCCGCAAAGGTTGGCATTAACTTCACCAACAAGCAGCAGTTGCTCAGTCAGCATAGTTCGCTTGCAAACTAAAGGCCACGGAGTTTGTTTTGTTTTTGTAGTGCACTATCCAGCATAAAACACTGCAAAGAGAGATGGAGAGACAGAGAAACATGCAAAATATTGATAATGCAGAAACATGTACCCTTGTGCAGTGGTCTGCTCTTGGTACAGCTGATGAAAATCTGAGTGACATTTAGTTACAGGGATTTGGGTTCATGTACCATCACAAACAGTCTAGTTTCTGTCATTCATAATGCATCAAAATCACTCTCAGCTTTTGTGGTGGTAAGGAAAGAAGAAAATATGTTCTTAACTACTTCTGCTGATATAACTAATGAAACACTGGGTCAGTTCAGTTCAATTTAAACCTTTGGTCTGCTATTCATCCAGCTCCTTGATCATCCAGACAGCTGCTGCTTTACAAGACATCAAACAAACTCCGTGATTTTATTCCACAAGTAAACTATACCAATCAAGCAACCACACTTTGTTAGCGAAGTTAGTTGCAACTTTAGCAGATAGAGGGTGTCATGTGGTCAGCGTAATGAATCCCCACAGCTGTTAATTTCGGTTTTCTACACCGGAGCCGCTATTTCCTTCAAATAGCTCCTCAGTTATCCTCATAAGGCTGAGTGGACCCGTTTCCAGACCCACTACTTCTCAGAAAATCTGGTAGCGCCAGGAATCGAACCGGGACCTCTGGATCTGTAGCCAGGAACACTGACCACTAGACCACAGAGGCGGTCTTTCCAAGAGAGTCTAAAATTCTGTGTCCATTTCTTATTCCCACCATAAGGGCTAAATATTCACTGCATTGTGATGTTCTGATGTGACTACAATATTATGATGTTGAACATTATACAATATTTGCATTCCTTCCTTGCTTCGTCCCAGATCCAAATATTTAACTATTTATGTTCTTCCGTCTCTGTAAGAAATCCATGTCTTAAAGAGTCATTAACAGAATCGCTGTTAACCCCATCACCTGATGCGGTGGAATTTACTGCATGCCAGTGCTGATCCCATCGTGTGGGTCTCTGTTACCACTGCATACATAATTGTCATCATCATCTACAGATGCCACAAAAATGCAGGAAAAATAAATTTTAAGCATAGCGTGAATGAGTCAAACACACTGCAGTTGTCATCTCTTTCCCACGTTACTCTCCATTTCTGTTTTGAATGTAGTTACTTTGGAATCTGTTTTCTTTGGAAAAACAGCTGGCCCCAGCAGGGGCATGGCAGTTAATGTGTCAAGTAACGTAATTGTCTGACAGCTTACACTGTGAAAGGTACTGTCTTCTTAGATGTGATGATGTGTAGTGTGGCAGAAGTTTACCGACATTTCAGAGGAATGTCAGTGAACTTCTGCCAGACTACCTGATGTCACATCTCAGAAAATAGTACCCTGCATAATCATCACTACATGAACCTCAAATCCAACATAGCTTATACTGTGGTTACCATATGCACTTGGTGTTGGGAGGAAGTGAAGGATTAATGACAGAATTATGAATTTCATCACAAACAGACATCATACTTCACCACAGAAAAAAAGAGAAAAGAATGAGTTCTAGAAAGACCCTCATTCATCAATGGCTGTAAAAGTCCTTTGTTGGGCCTGGCCATCTTTTCAGTTTTGCAGTCCTGCACAAAATTGGTAGGACTCCTTGAACAGCGGATCAGCCTGTCAAAAGGCCTCTGTCAACACACAGGACACCACAAACACAAAAAACACGCACACAGGTATCGATGCCTCAAGTGGGTGAAGGCAATTCATGCCTTAGACCGCGCAGTCCCTGTGATCGGCAAAAGGACCCTCACCCAGAAGAAATTTGATATAAATACTCTGAAGAGAAGTTCTTAAGACCTCAAGAAAGATGGAAGGATTGTATTTTATAATAACCCCTTCAGGGCATCTGTACCTGATACTGTGTGTACTTTTCCTTGCAGAGAAGATGCATATGGTAGAGGAACAAAATGTAGCACTACGATCCCAGGTGCAGGAGCTTGTGGAACAGAAGTTGCGACGTGACAGTCAGTTGGATGACTTCAGTGAAGCTCTGGATTCTCGTGTTGAGGAGTGGAAGGTGAGACTCAAATCTTGGTGAACAGAACAGCATCAGAAATGCTACAGTAGTGCAAATAACTTTGTTTTCCATAAATGACAATTATAAGAACAGGAGTAGAATGGTCTGTATAGCGACTGGCTACAGGCTGTACAACCAAGGAGTCAGAGTTTGAGTCCCAGTAGGGTCAAGAATTTTCACTCCTCCATGTATCCAGACCAGCTCTGTGGCTCACCCAGCCTCTTGTCCAGTGGGTACCAGGGGCTTTTATTTCCTGAGGGTAAAGCAGCTGGGGCATGAAAATGACCATTCATCTCCAACTAGAGCTGAGGTCAAGAAAATGTGGGCCTATACAACCATTCCCCCATAGGTCTTCATGGCATAGTGCTCAGTTACACATAGTTAAGCAGTTTACCTATAAACACAATTATAAACATACATAAGAAGTGCTGACATGATATCATAATGTTGTGTAGGTGACAGAATATGTGACAACACTGAAGATTATCGTTGTGTGATAATTATTTCTGGCAAGAAGAACATGTAAATACTGTTATTTCAGTCAAACCATACTAAAGAGAAAATAAAGCGGCCTCCGTAGTCTAGGGGTAACATTCCCACCTCATGACTCAAGGTATGCGGGTTCAAAGCTGGCGGAGGTCATGGAAGTTTTAAGGGCAGAAAAATTCAGGGAACAAGTCCTCCTGGAGGGACTTTAAGCCGTGGGTCCCATGTTGTAGCTTTACGGCACGTAAAAGAACCTCATGTCTTAAGGAGACCTCTGAGCCAAATTTGTAAGGACATTTCCCACCCAACAATAGTCTCTAACACCTCTGGTAGATGGGGGAAGCATCTAGATACCGCTGAGCCAGTAGAGGCTGAACTTGCTGGCTGAGTCGGGACTGATGGCACGCACCAGTANCTCCAGCTTCAGGATTGAAGAATAAGCCAAACAAGCAACGAGCAAACAGGATGCTCTGCTTGCTACTTCCTTGCCTGAAGATGGCAACAGTAAATACCTCCAAATCATCTGTGAAGTTTTCCCAGACTACACGGCGTCACATCCCAGAAGATAGTATCTTTATATACATGTAACGTTGATGCTGGGCTTTGGCTGGGACCAAAAAACTATTTGCTAAATCAGGGTTGCACTGTTTGTCACACAGAGGGTGCTGGAAGAGAAGAACGCTGAAGTTGAGGAACTGCAAGCAAGACTATCCCACCTTGCAGCTCAAGCGCCTAACATTCAGATCGACACTGAGCGGAGTCGTGTGGCACTTCTTACTCAGGTGAGGTCACACAATTACATCTATATGCAGAACTGCGTGTTTAGAAGAAATTGTGTCTGTTACAGGCAAAGGGGGTTACTTTACAGTATATTAGGCTATGCAGCTTAGTCATAATTTATGCAAGTTTGAATAATGCGATATTTGATTTAGTGCAGATTGTACAATGATACCAGTTCACATTTAATGCGAGGCCAACACAGGTGCATTTGAGGTTACTGTTAGGGTTTTAGATGCTATAGCAAGTGTCATGTAACTTTGAACAAGACCAAGAGTAACCTTGAATGCGCAGAAGAAAAATTTCAGACAAGGGGGTGGAGGGTGTGAGAAGTGACAGGTGGCCAGTGGAAGAACGAGTGTTAAGAAACTCCTCCCACTGCAAGCCATGCGCGGTATTTGACTAGGAATGCGGGGCCTTGTTCGAAGTTACGTGACACTGCCTATACTGCTTCAGTCTACACTTATCTTCACATGTGCTGCTGTCTGCAATAATATACATTACTTTTTATGGTTTGTTTTAAGTGGTTAATGGACAAATGGAAGATTCCTTCAGATAAAAACACAATGAACCCCCAAAAGAAGAATCTCATTACATTAGAGCAAAATCTTTGATTTGATTGAACAACATGAATGTGGTCATAGCAACTCTAAAATAGAATAGATGTTGGAATGCCTGAAATATTGGAAGAGCACTTGGATTTGATGGACTAGAAAATGACAATGTTTGGGAACTGCTCAATTCACACTCCGAAGAATTGACTGATGATGATCTACTTTAGATCAACAAAGAGCATTTGAAGAAGCTGACAGTGGTGCAGAAGAATGAGATAATTTGCAAGTGAAGGAGTTCACTTTCAAGAAATTTTAAGATATCTTTCAAGCTGTAGAAATCATGCAGCAAAAAAGTTATGGATGCTGACCCCAACCTTGGTCGAAGCATGCAAATTTTCTGAGATGTGGATAAAGCAGTATGTGGCTACCAGCATATGTATGAAGATATAAAGGAAGAGAAAACAGTTCAGTCTCCACCACTAAAATATTTCAAAACACATTAAAGATGTTTTCATCTGTGTAAGCGTACCTTTAGGAATGATTTAGAATTTCTTTGTTTTTATTTTGTTATCTGTGACTTTGTTAGCATAAATTTAAATTACAAGTATGTTCTTTTATCCCTTACTATAATATCCAGTCTCCGAAATGTTGTGTTTTAAATAAAAATGGGATTAGGGATAATGTCCAGACACACTATAATTGTATTAATATACTGTCACATGTAGGACGGTATGTGCAACAAAAATGATTCATTTATTAACACTTTGGTTACAACCTCTCTTAAGTACACTTAATTTCAGCACTATCGCTGATTACACACTTCATAATTCACTGTTGCACATGCACTAGGATTCTCTGTTTCCACTAACCGTCTCCTAGCAATGGATCTCAATGCACAAATTAGCACTTCAAATCACTCCAAATATTACACATGAATAAAGTCCTCTAACCACACACGCAAAGTCTTCACATGATGAAGTTGCCATGCCTGTCTCACTGTTACTTAAACACTCTGAAAAAAAAACTCCTTGGTTATTCCTGGAATCTTGTTATATAGCCTCCACACTGACCACAGAAAACAAGTCATGTGATAGATAGTACTGTTGCAGTGTGACATCACTGCGCAGAAGTCTGTTTACTGAGCCGCTGCCTGCAAGCGGGTTGCGTAACCTTGTTCCCTTGTTACACGTGTGTTTACTGGTCCATTACTTAGCAACGCTCTGGCCATCCATGTTACAGTACCATTGTCATAAAATTTAGGTCTTCTAAAATTAATATTTTTAAATAATCGCTTCCCTGGAATTATAAGATTACCAGTGTGAGCTATTACTGAGAATAATACTTTCTGAAATGAGGACATTATTATTATTATTATTATTCATGTAACAGACCTTGCAGAAACGAGAGGACCAGATTGAGGACTTGCAAAAGCAGCTGGCCCAAGCAACAACTGAGATGAATGAAAGTGCTGCTCTTTTAGAAGAATTCAAGTCACAGACGATTAAGTAAGTGATTTACACATGACTATCAGCCTCCTATCCAGTGGGTACCAGGGGTAAAGCAGCCAGGATGTGAAGCCGACCACTCACCTCCAACTAGTGACAAGGTCAAGAAAACTTAAATCTATACATCCACTCCCCCATACATCATGGCATAGTGCTTAATTGGTTAAGCACTGGGAGAAGTGTACCTTTTTTTACATATCACTGTTTCTCAAGCTGTGGTTCACAACCCATATATTGTTTCTCATTGCTTAATGATGTACTTGGCACAGAAATATTATTTTTATAGTAGTATGTTTAATTACTCTGTTTGGTAGATTTAAATCCTGCACTAGTATGGGTGCTGGCTGCTGGGTTTTAAGTGGGGAGTAATGATATCCATAACAAAACAAGTTCAGGAATGTATATGTAGCATAATAATTCTGATATGTTACTTCCTGTCTGTTAATTACTTTGAACACTGAAAGATTTACAGGAAAAATATCTTGGGCCTGTAATATATGTTCCATTTTTCTATTCATCTTGTGTTCCAGACAGTTTTCACTCTTATAAATATTTAGTGAATTAAGCCGCGTAAAGTGTCCTTTATTATTGTCCAATGCTGAATAGGTCATCATATTTTAAACTCCTGAAACATCAAGTTTTGTGTAAATCTGTTCACTGGTTCTTGAGTTATTTCATGCATACAGACAGACAATATGATTTTAATAGACTCTCCACAAGGACATGAATATGCCTACAGATTCAAAGCTATGTCTGCCGAATCATCTGCATGCCTGCATGATCTGTCACAACAGTGTGATGGGTCCCTTAATTTAAGTTTACATTCCTTTAAAATGTGTTTCTTTTGTCATAACTCTTAGGATTACTTAAGGTATCTTAAAACTACAGGGGATTTTGATCTCACACAGGGAAGTGATTATTTCTGCAACAATAATTTCTGAACATGACTTATCTGTCGCCTCTGTCAGTGGGTGTCCAGTTTTCTGTTACCCATTTGTTGTGGTGAGAAATTTCAGATACATATGATATCAGCAGAAGGAAAAGAAAAAGATAAAATGGACCAGTTAGCAGAAAAAGAGTGGTTCAGAAATGGAACCTGTGCCCTCTCCCAAAACTGAACCAAATGTTGAAATTTTAAGCTCCCTTCCCTCCTGGGAGTCATTCAGTGCCATCAGCATTAGTGTATCAGTATCAGCAAGAAGCCAGGATTAGGATTTGTGGTGACTATGATTAGCAGTTCAGCCACACAGTGATTGGGAATTATGTGAATGGCTTGGTAACTACCAAATAAGATCTAAACATCTGTGATGATGGTATATTGCTACAAGTATTATGTTTTTGGACATTATTCATCGTCTCGTCTATTTTCTAAAAACAGTCATGTTTCTTTTTAAAAACACAACGTTTCGGAGACTGGATTCTGTCCCTGTCCCCAGGTAAAACCTACTCATTTGGGTCCGATAGATAGAGCTAGCCCCTATCTCCGGATCCAAAACATTGTGTTTTTAAAAAGAAACAGGACGGGTTTTAGAAAATAGACAAGATGATAGATAATGTCCAAAAACATAATACTTTTAGTAACTACCAGCTCCTCTGTGTAATAGATTTTGTTGATGATGGGTTCTTATCTCATTCAGGCACGATTTGCCCACTGGAATCGATCTCAATGGTGTTGCAAAGTTGAAGACACAGTTACAGCAAGCTGAAGAGAAGGTCCATCAGTTGGAAAGCAAACTCAAGGATGCTGAAGAAGATGCCCACATTAAAGTACAAGAGATGAGCTCAGGTGTAGTGAATACTGACAGCAGTTAACTGCACAGTGTCAGTCCAGAAGATCACAATCTAAATGCAAAACACAACACACTGTGCATATACAAGACTTACTTTCAGCCTGAGATGAGGTTTTCATGAAACTGAGGTGAGAATGAACTGTTAGACCCATTTTTTTCATTGCAACCACAGTTTGTAACATCAGCTGCTTTTTTCACAGTGAGCTAAAGTATCCTACACATCTCCTTTGATATCAGATAACTATTTGAAAAATTGCCATAAATAATTTTGTGTTTTAAAAAAAATATCGTCTGGGTCTTAGAATCCTGAACTGTGTCCTTTTTGCCATGGGCAGGAAAGGAAAAGGACACTGTATTGATAAGCTGATTCATGCTAGTGGTGCCAACCATTATGATTCTATTGGATCTGGTAATATGATGTTAGTGTGCAAAGCAAAAGCAGTTATGTGAAAACTAGCAGAGTTTTAGACCAAGATAAGTAATTTCATGGGGATATTTTCTTTTGATTTAATGTTGAAAATTTAAGACTTGGAGATTCTTATAAAATATTCATGAACACAGAAATGAAAGCTGCCTTCAGGAACATCCTAGTCTGAATAACTTCTTTATAATGTTCAGAGATCTCTCAGGCTATTTCAGCAGTTCTGTGTGGTTAGTTTGGTCTTGTACTTTTCTCATTGTCTTTTCCTGTCTTCCACCGCACACCAGTATTTTCCTGTGGTCATCTGGCATCCTGTTAATCTGTACTGACCAGGAAAAGGGAACTTCAATTTTCCTGTTACTGTGCGATTGGGTGCCACATTCTAACTCAGGGGTAGCAGTTCATCATTCAGGTGCAGGGTATTTTAAATCTCCTAGTACTGTGGGGCTGCTGGCCATATTTTAAATCAAGATTAATGGTATCAGCATTGAAAAATACAGTGCAGCTTATCCAGCTGGTAATAGTGCAGTGCATAGCCAATGTTAATGTACCTCAGTAATGTGGGATTTTGTTGAAGTCAGTTTTTCTTTCTCTCTTTTATGGTTCATTTTACAGCTGTCAGTAGCTAGTGTTGAATGGCCAGATGACAGAATGCAGGAATGGGATTTTTATGGTACGGAAGTGGTCAAGGGCTGATGGAGATAATATTCTGGAATTTGTCTCAAGGGACTAAGGAACACTATGAAAATCCTCAGACATAATAGTCAGTATCCCAGCTGAGATTCAAACCAAGCACTTCACCAGCTCAGTGAAGTCGTCACCATCCTCTCCTCCTCCTCCTTCTCCACAGAGATTATTTCAGTCATGTACTCAATGATATGAAATTGCTGAAGAGTTTTATATCTTCTGGCATGTGATTTGTAGTCTGGTTCCTCTGAAACACCATTAAGCCTCAGCTGCACTACATATTGTAGCTCTTCACAGTCACTGGTATGATATTCTCATACTGTTATGTGCAGGCAACGGAAATGATCATCCAACTGAGGGAGTATGAGTCTGGAGAGTATGGTTTGGCTGAGGCCGTGAGCGAAATCAAGGAACTGAGACAACAGCGTCGCATTCGAGACAGACAGATAGAGGAGCTGGTGCAGGCATCAAACAAACTGCAAGCTGAGGTCAGCCAATTGGAAGAACAGAATATGGCTCTCAGGTACCGGCTAGTTCATTCAGTATCACTGTGTCTCACCACATCTGGAATGTAATATAATACATCTTCATTATTTGACTGACTGCATAGTCAAACTTGAGTTAGCAATTCAACTGTTCGGTGGTGGGGGACATGAAATTGATGTATGATGGGAACGACATGTCTGTCTGTCTGGTCCCGCCGATTAACCCATCACTTTATCCAATTGCTGTGGATAGAGAATTCCAACACATGTGTATTTTACCCATCTGTGTCTAAGATCAGTATTGCACATCACCAGTCATAACTACAAAACCAATTTGCTGCCCTAAGAAATGGCATCCATTGCAGTTGTATCTTAATATCCTGTTTCAGTTGGTATTAGAATTTATTTTCAGTTGTTTAACATCTGCCCTGCAACAATATTAAGATCTCAAAAGTCGCCACTGCCCTAGATGTTTCAGCCTACTTGGCCAATGTACACAGTGGATAGGGAACAGGCATACCAAATAAGGCAATACATGTGGCATAGAAGGAGGAAATACATTGGCTTCATGTAGACATGCCATAAATACGAAAACAGGGATCACAGTAGCACAGAAGGCAGAGCAGTTCCCCTGAATTTCAGCGCACCTGATGATGGCCAAGTAGGCCCAAGAAACACGTAGTGCAGTAACAAATTTTAAAAGAATCGCATTTTAAGCTCTTGATATTTTTGCATGGTGAACAGTAAACTACTGAAAGTAAAATCCTTTGCAGTGTCTGCACTCCAGACTTTCTGTGAGATATTAAACATAGTACTTCCTCTTGAGGGAAAGTCAGCCAACCTAACAGCATGATTATATTTACATTTCAAAATCTGATAACAGATGGAAATTGAAAAAGAAAACTGCAGAGCTCAAAAGGTAAATCAGTGGGTTAGTAAATATGAAGCTAGTGATGGTTTGAAAGTGTTGGGTGTGTACTCGTAAGTGTTGTTTCGTTCAAGACTCCAGAACATCCACGATAGGTAAATTAATGGAGACCAGCGATAGCAAGCATAAAAATGTCTATATGAAGCAGAATGCATGGCTGCAAAAGTGAATTTTGTTAAGTGGCTAGTTGAAATAAATTATGTTTCTCAAGTTCTGGTTACAGTAGTGGCTGAATAAAGCCAACAGAATAAAACTGACGCATATGTGTGTCACTTTCCATTTTCACATTCTCTCTCTCTCTCTTTTTAAAGAAATAAACATTTCAAAAGCTGACTGTGCTTCCATCTTCAGGTAAAAGTGTGCAACCTTCTCTGTCGGTCCATCAGATGGAGCTGATCTCTGTCCTTTGGTTTGCTTATAGAGGTTAGTTCCATCCACTGAACCAAACAGAATGGGGGTTTCATACCATGACAGAATAATCCATTGCCAAACAACGCTTTGGTAAACACTGCCTGAAACCTGGAAGTGGAAGTCCATTTGCTAGGCAACAGTTCAGTAAATATAGATTCCAGTGGCAATGGATGACAGGATAACAGAGGAATGGTTTGAAATGGTGACCTATATTTGGGTCGCTTGGAGTGATGATTCATTCACAAGGGAGTTCAGTGTGTGAGCAGTGATTCATCACAGTGGAAGAGAAGACATTTGCAGTCCAGCCAGAATGGAGGGAGGCATAGACAATCATTGATTGTGAGCCGTTACAATTGATTGTAAATGTAAATAAGTGCCAATAATTCCAATCACCTAATCCAGAACCCATTACTATTTGTCACGCAAACCCCGAATACTTGAAAATATATTTACTTCATGGAAGCACAGTCACTGTAATTCTAACCAAAAATGAGATAAAGGGAAATGTTCCACATGTGTCAGTTTAATAACGTGCCTTTAAACTTAACATACAAATCAATTTAAATTACTTGACAATGTGACTGTTGTAGGGAGCAGCTTGGCTTGCCTGCAGAGGTGCCTGTATGTGTGGATGGAATCACTGCACAGAGGAAAAAGGAGCGGCTACTGATGAAAGTGCTGCAGCAACAGGCGGAGCGGTTTGAAGAAGAGAAACTGCAGCTTAAACTTGAGGTCAGTGCCACAGGTTTGTGATTAACACTCCTGTTTCATATTCTGGTTCAACCTCAAGGGAGAAGACAACTTTGGAAACCTGTGTTATATAGAATAATATTAAAGTGGGAGAAATAGATTCAAAAGACAGGAAATAGATTGACTAGTTCAGGATGCAAGTCCAAATGAGGGACTTCTGTAGAAAATGTGATGAACTGGTCGGTAAACTGTCTCACACTGTTGAGCCTGGACTGTGATTTTTATGGTTTCAATCAGTTCCTTTAATTGAATCCCAAATAAAAATTAGTCGCTACACTGTAGTTATCATTTAGAATCACTGACCAAATTTTGTTCAACTGAACAGTGATGCAACATTGAAAAATAATCAAGACACTCAAACAGTTAGTCATATGACTGGTACTCAAACACCTGAAAATTTTACTTGCAGAACCGCAAACTGAACCAGCGACTCAGCAGGATCAGCCAGCAAATGCAGTCCATAGGGCTGCAGCCTGACACAGGCATGGCAAGCGAAGCCATCCTGATGTCACCTGTCGAGAAGTTCAGCCAGGGTACAGAGATGGTGGCCCTTGTGCCCTCAACAGCGGACAGTCAGAGCCTGAGGATCGAGGAGGCAGATGGGATGCAGCTGGAGACAGAGAAACTGAGGCTCCACCAGCTAGAGAACAAGCTCCAAGAGGTGACAACCGAGAACGAGGCCTTGAGGAAAGGCATGCATGAGATCCTGGACAGCATTCACAACCAAGATGGTACACTTCTTAGTATAGTATTCACAAGTGAACTAGTGGGTGTAATGAGAATGGTGGCATTCGTGGTTCTGTGCGCCCCTGTGCTTTAAAGTGATATTGTTTCAGGTTCAAGCAGTGTGCAGGTGGAGTCCAACACTCTGGAGAGACTGCTTGAAGCACTGGACTCGAGACATCTGAGCGGGTGGTACCATCCAGCCATGAGACTACAGGCGCAGCTGCAGTCTGTGGAGGGGAGCAACACTGTGTTGCGAGAACAGCTACGGACCACACGGTACATTCACTAACACCTCCTGACAGTGGTTCTGAAGGAAAATGGCATCCTTAACGTTCCCAAATTTTATGTTTGGTACCGGTGACGGTTTCAACCAATGAGCAGAATAATTCAAGCTTAGATTCCTCTGAATGAGAATCTAAATTTCTTATCCTTTCGAGACCAAAGGCATGAGGAGGCAGCCATATTTTCTTGTTCATTATTGTCCTTTCAGTCTCATATTTCTTATAAAACATTTTCTCCATTATCTTCTCCACTTCTTCCCCTCCTGTTCCTTTCTGAGAAGGATTCAAAAACCACCAGGTCCCTTTGGATACAGTTTACTGTCCATACCCTTAAAGACTACTGTCTTCTGGGATGTGGTAGACAGGTACTGCACTACATAGCGTGATATCCCAGAAAACAGTAGTCCTCATAGTCGCTGATGCAAGAACTCAGACCTCACATATGCCTCTGTTGCAGACTGGAAGGAACCAAGACTTCACAACAGCTGCAGAAAGCACTTCTGAGAGTGGAGCAGCTGGAGACCAGTTTGGCAACAGTGCAAGAAGGAAGGGTGGGTCAGAGGGCCCAGGTTTGTGATGAGATGCACCTCCCTCCAGACTTGCCTCTTTCCAGTGCAGAAATTATTTCAAAACTCAACATGCATCTCCTGCATGTTTTGGATGTAAGTATACCATCCTCAGGAGGATCCAAAATTTCTGAGCACTATATGAGGTCTGACAATAAAGTTCGTGAACTCGCAACTGTGTACTTGCCTTGGCAGCAGTGAACAGAAATCTCAGTAGTTTTGATAACATTGGCATATCAGTGTCAACCAAGTTTAGTATTTTGAAGTACTGAAGAGGCTGCATGGAAAAGTTAGACAGAAATGACCCAAAATTTGCCAACTCGTGGATCTTGCATTACGACAATCCACCTGCTCACACAGCACTGTCTCTGTGGGAGCTTTTAGCTAGTAAACAAATAACTGTGCTGGAACACCCTCCCTATTGACCAGATATAGCCACCAGTGACTTTTCTGTTCCTGAAGAGAAAAGAAATATTGAAAGGAAGGCATTTTGATGACATGGATGATATCAGGAGTAATACGACAGCAGCTCTGAAGACCAGTCCACAAAACTGTTTTGAAGGGTGGACTAGGCACTGGCATCAGTACATAGCTTCAGAAGGGGAGTACTCTGAAGGCAACCACAGTGATATTCAGCAGCGAGGTACCATTGATGAGTTCACGAACTTTATTGTCAGACCATGTAATCTGAAAAATGTATTTTGTCTCATAACTTTAAATGCCCGAGAATGGGAGTCAATAAATACAGTGATAAGAGTGCAATGTTAAACTTTTGTGAACACAGCAATGAACCTTATGGTTCTGTGAAAATAGACACTCTTTTAACCATTTGGGGGTTTTTTTTCTTCTTTTTTTTATGTTATTTGTGTCTTCTAGAAACCAAGCCTCTCCATCTCTTCACTCTCCTTCTAAAGCTGCTGTTCCCATTCTGATCTTGATCTTCCTCGGCCATTTTTCTTTGAGTTCCATGTTCAATAATTTTGGGATTCTATCTTCATTCATTCTTAAAACATGCTCATACCATCTTATTCTGTTATTCATTAATTTCATTTGCTTTTAAAATCGCTTCTGGATTTTCCTTATGTACTGCTTACAAATTTCATCTGTTATTAAACATATTCTTCCCTTAGGCATTTTTCATTTCCAGAAAATGCGCCAAAATAACTGTTAACTTTTCCTGCAGTTTTTGTTCCCTCAGTACTTCCTTCATTTTCTCTTTCATGCGACCAGCTGATTGGCTGCCAGATATTCATGGAAAACCCTGAACCAAGCTAGGTCCAGCGGCTGGCAGTTAATTTGCGCTGGATCAAAAATAATTAATTTAATTGCTTGATTTATAGGAGTATATGAAACAAGAGGAAAGGAACATAACTTTGGGAAAGAAACTTGAAGAATTTTACAAAAACTACAACATATTACGCCATCAAGTGGGACTGCTGTACAAGCAGTATGATTCTGAGAAAAGTGCCTGGAAGAAGTCACAGGCAGACATTGAAGCAGAAAGGGAGAAGTTGAAAGAACATGTTGAGAGCATGAAGGTTAAACTGAAAGAATATGATGGACACTGGGAGGTGCTGAGTAAGGGTGAAGATGAACAGAAACAGCTGATAGCTGAGAATGCGAAGCGAATGGCCCTCACCATGGCCAACATGACAGTACTGAGCAGGAAGTGCAAGGCACTGCAGAATCTGGAGAGCTGCACACGCAAAGAGAACAGCAAGCTGAAAGATGAGATGGCATCCATGGAATGTGCAATGACACAGAGAATTGGGGAGCTTCAGAGGCACAAGGTAAGGACCTTAAGAGTAAATCGTTTTTATGTGGGTTGGTTACTAAAGCACACAGTCTGCTGGACCAGATTAGAGCCCTTTTAACTGTCCTTGCTGAGCGGCACATTGGGAGACCACAAGGTAAGCATTTAGATAATTGCCATTACATTTGCAACAGTGCCAGCTGTTGGAAATATTGACATAACAGCAGTACTGCCACTGACTCCAGTATTGAGTCCTGAGTGGTGTGTGGCAGGAGATCCAGTTTGAATCCCAGCCCAGACCACATGAATTTTGAGGGGTATCTTATGATCCTGTCAGTAGCCAGATTCCGTAGCACTGAACAGTAGGAGATGAATGATGAGAGGATTTGGAAGGAAGCAGTCATCCCAAAAAAATTCTGGAGATACTGAGGAAAACCACATAAAACCTTAGTGGCGATAACCAGTGTCCAGCCGAGACTTAAACTCGGCATCTCCCAAATATGAATGAAGAGCAGTATCACTCTGCCAATAACTGGTCTTAACTGGTCTAAGTGCATGGGGAAACCCACCCCCTCTATTAATAATAATAAAAAATAATAATCACTCTGCCAACCCATCTGGTTTTTTCCTGTTAGTCCTCCAGGTAATGCAAGGACAGAATCTTCAATAGGGTACTTGTGCACCCCTCTGATCATCGTGATAGTTGGCCGGATGCTACATAATCTTAATTCAGCTGAGACAGTGGCATGAAATAACCTAAAAATCTGCACCAGTGTTTCGGAAACCTACGCCGGCTGCGTACTCAGGGTCAATGTGATGTCACTCCCTCTGAGTAGTCCTCTTCCTGTTGATAAGGTGACTGATAGAGTAATGTCAAGTTTATCGGTCCTAACTCCCCTCCCCCCAGCTGTAGGCCTGGTGCCATGTTGCTTCAACTAGAGAGTGGTAACCCTTCCATCATCTGTTTTCCCTAAATCACTGTTTAACTGCGGTTCAGTTGTAACTTCTTGGGCAGATTTTATGTTTAGTCTTGAGGCTACCTCTCTTCCCTCTCCACGTTGCTTAACCTCGAGGAAGGCAATCCATCAGCAGGCCTGTTCCTTTCTATACTGTAGAGACTGGGTGGTTTGGTTGGTTCCATGCTTGGCTAAGGAACACTTCTTCAAACTGAACCAAACATAGTATCTGTAAGGTTCTTGTTTCTGGGTGCAATGACTGACACCAGCTTTTTCAGATAGTCCTATCTGAATAGGTACCTCCCCAACTTTCCACCAGGCAATAGAAACAGGTGCAGTTTCCAAAATGTATTCTGTCTGGAATAACATCCAATTGATGAAGTCCAAAAGCCTAGCAGTACTGAATGCCAAAAAGTTTACAGCATGTGGTAAAATCCAACACATTTCAATGGTATTATTATTATTATTATTATTATTGGAGGGGGTGGGTTTCCCCGTGCACTGTGACTAGTGGTCTATTGTACGTCCCCCTATGATATTCTACCAGTCTCTATACCCTACCGATACTGGTGCATGCCATCAGTCCCAACTCAGCCAGCGAGTTCGGCCTCTACTGGCTGAGCAGTATCTAGATGCCTCCCCCATCTACCAGAGGCGTTAGAGAGTATTGTTGGGCGGGAAATGTCCTGGTAATTTGGCTCAGAGTCCTCCTTGAGGCATGAGGTTCTTTTACGTGCCGTAAAGCTACGACACGGGACCCACGGCTTAAAGTCCCTCCCGGAGGACTTGTTCCCTGAATTTTTCCGCCCTTAAAAATTCCACAACCTCCGCCGGGTTTGAACCCACATACCATGAGTCATGAGGTGGGAACGTTACCCGTAGACTACGGAGGCCGCTTATTTCAATGGTAAGTTGCAACACTTCTAAAATTTATTTTGCAGGAAATGTCGACATACAGAATCTCAGCCCTGCAGGGCATGTTAGAGGACTCTGTTCCACTCACAGTGCTGGAAGCCGCAAACAAACATTTCGATGAGCTGACGTCCAAGTACAGAGATCTGCTTCAGAAGGAGCAAAGCCTGGTAAGATGCATGTGATCATGAAAGGGGGGAATCTAAGGGCGCATACACACTAGCAAGCTGTTGCATGTAACGTAACGGTTACTGTAACCACATTCTATTAGTGTGGACGCCTTCCAAACCATGCTCGTGAACGTACTTCAAGCGTGCTCTGTAACACGACTGGCGAGCCACTGCTTTGTTGGTTTTTGCTGCGAACACAAAGGGACTCACAGTAGGCTATTGGATGCCACAATCGCTTGCCCGTAAATGTGTATGTTTCCTCCGAGCAAGGAGTAGCTTTGTGAATCGCTATGTCTTCATGGTGAGCTCACCCCGAGCACTATGGATTGGGTCGGTCGAAGCTGGTTACATGACAACTATGGACATGTCGTCCATACGATGATGTGGTTACAGTAACCATTATGTTACATGCAACAGCTCGCTAGTCTGTACCCGGCCTAAAATAGTGGAAAGCACAAAAGTGCCTCAATCAGTTTCCTTCAGTAGTCACAACCCATTCTGATGTATTACACAAGCATTTTCATTGGAAAAGAGAATCTCAGGACAGAAGGTCTCCAGTCAGAGACTATGCATGTGGGACAGGACAAGTGAGCACATAAGCCAGTATTGTGTTCCGTCTGTAAGGTGTGTGAGAGCCAGCTGACAGTGCGTCTGCAGGGAGAGGTGAAGACTCTGCAGAAGGACAAAGAAGAATTGCAGATTGCATTACAGGCAGCCAGAGAGAAAGTTCACTCATTGGAAGTTCTGATGACATCTCTGAACCAGGACATGGTCACGCAGGACACACATGACAACCAGGCAAGTTTCACTTGGCTACAACACACAGTATTTATGTGAAATTGAGGTTCTCACAGTTGTGGGAATGCTGTATAGTCTGGTAGACACATACCAATGTCTGAGAACCTGCTGCCTCCATCTTCAGGGTGGAAAAGAGGCAGGAGGTTCCTCCACACCCTGATCAGAATTTGAACAGGTATCTCCCGGATGTTAATATTCCGTGTGTTCACTATGAAAGTAATGACTCACTCTTCTGGTGTTACTTTTTCCAGCTCTCGCTACTGTCAAAAAAGCTGGCAACCATGGAGCTGAAAGAATTGAGTGAGAGACAGAGGGCAGATCATGCTGACAAAATGTATAACATATTGAAAGGTATGTGCTGGTGCATTAGTTCCTTGGGCAAACAGAATTACAAAGAAGAGTTGTGCTTGCTTCCTGCTCGGTGTGTGATTTCTGTCAAGGGCAAAAGCTTTCTCTATGTAATTATATCAAGACTGACTCTGGAATCCACTGAACTGCCTGTCGGATCCTTGGGGTACACAGGCCAGAGCTTGAAGCTGACCACTCATCAACATCAATATCATCTTACAATCTTAATAGTGTGCATCATGTCACGAGTCATAAATAAGATATACAAAAGTATATAAGGTAAGCAGTCTACACAACAATACAAGTATTCTGTATTTAAAAACAAGGAGGACACTACTGTATCAAGATTTGCTTTTATTATGCTTATTTGAAGAATTAGATGATAATTAATTGAGATTCATCAGCTCTTATTTAAGCATTGTATGCCTGATGATGACCCGGTATAAGGGTCAAAACATGTTGCGTCTTCCATTGTTTCAGAGGTTTTCTCAAACTACTTTTTTCTTTTTCTTGATAATTTAAGACCTGCTTTGGAATCCTCTGGCAGCTCATCCTGTCAGCATGTTCTTTCTGATTTTTTCTGTATTCTATAAATTCTGTTAATTGTGAAATCTGTATTCTGTCGTAATTCTTCTGTGGTCAAAATGCCTTTATCTCACTAGTCTCAATTACTGGACCTTAGTGAATAAGACTGCCTCTTATCAGAGACTCACCTGAGTAGAAACCTTCCTTCCCTTACACTTTATGAGGGAAATAGATCCAGTTTCCAAAACATTGTATTTGAGAACACTCAAGACAGTGGATAATATCCAGACTGATAGTCATGGTTACCACTGCACACGGCGGAGTAACTGTGACTATCTTAGGTCACATGTTACAGGTAGTAATGACGCCATCCTCAGTGAGGTTGGCCGAACTACAGCTGTGTCTTTGGTGGGGACGCATCATGGACCAGGGATGCGTTGGGATACAGCTTTGGGACACCTCCTCGTGGTCCCGCTGGGCAACGACAGTCTCAGGGTCTGGATTAATATGACCTACCAGGCTGGCGGCTAAGTTCCCATAAAGGCAATGGCATTATGACCAGAGCCTCCCACGCGGCAGCATAATGACTCCTGGGTATCACTACAGTCTACCTGGGACGAATGCGGGAGAGCACTCCCATGGGGGTAGCTTTGGCTATTTGAGTTGTCTCCCTAGAGTACCGATAAGGTGCCGCAAGCCTTAGGGCTCAACACTCTAAAATGGTTTGACCAACCCATGTGGAGGGGTGGGAATGGGGGAGCTTATAGGCCACCCCCAGGTGTGACCCTCTCATGCAGGTTTCCCTGGTCGCAACCTCATGACTAGCTGGTATCGCACTCCCATTAATCATCTGGGATACCCCTCTCCCCCCGAACAGGCACTCTAGGTCCTGGAGTCTTGTGAGGGTCTTATTCATAACAGGACCAAACCACATAAGCCAAGGTGTGAGGCATCGTGCTGAGGGCTGCATGGCACTAGGGTGGTAATTAGCTAGTGTCTTGAACGATCCCCTCGGGGTACCAGGCAGCACCCCATTGTATTTATGCCTTCCACCCGTATGGGGCGCTGCGGGTGGTGACCTTTTAAATCCCCATGACTCGTGGGACCAAAATGAATAAAGGAACCAAATCAAAAACCGGTCGTAAGGACCTTAAACTGAAGAGAGAACCCCCTCCAAGGGGATCCCTACAAGAAATGCTTCAGCAGGGGGCTGGAAGCTCTGGTGAACCATTAAGGGGCCCAGTTGCAACCAGCGAACCTGCTGTTGAAATTTCAGCCAAAGGCAGGGACAAACCAGTGGTTCAAAACTTGCCTGAGGTAAAACCAAAATCTACTCTCCTGGGAGTCAGTAGTACTGGCACACCACTGCAGGGAGCTAGTACTTCTAGCACACCTGCAGAAGGAGGACTGGGACACCTAGTCTCTGGAGTAGGTGGAGTCCGTCTAGCGAAGAAGGCATTGTCTGGATGCGCTAGACGGAAATTAAGAAAGGCAAGAGCTAGGGCAGGAAATGCAGGAACTGGGAGCAGTCAGCAACCAGGAAATGCAGGCTCGCCCAAGCAGGGAGAAACCCCCACCAAAACCCTTAGGAGGCCAAGGTTGGAGGGCAGTACCCCTACGGAAATGGCCAGAGATGCGAAAAGGACCAGGGACTCTAGGGGACCAGGGACTTACAAGGAGGCTCTGACCAATATAAAGGTAGCTATCTTCAAGGAAACATATCCTGAGGATAAGCTTACCAAAGAAGACCAGAACTCCATTCTGGAAGCACTGGGTGAGGTGTTACGTAGGACTCCAAAGGGAGAACTACCACACCTGCAATCCTACAGACTGGAGGGAGGTGCACTTATTTATATATGCGCCGACCAACAGTCTGGTCAATGGCTCATCAAAGCCATTGACAACTACAGGATGGAATCAGGGGCCAGGCTGAAGGCTACTGATGCCAGGAACCTGCCCAAGCCTGTTAAAGTGGCTCTCTGGATTAGGGACCAAGTTGCCCAGAATCAGGAAGAGCTGCTGAAATGGATTGCAGACCTCAATCCAGGACTTCATATTAAGAACTGGAGGGTAATCGATAAGCAAACTGAGCCGAAAGGCCAGAGGCTTATCTTATTCATAGACCGGGACTCTTATACTATTATACAGAGGACCGGTTACAAGATATTCACAGGACTCTCACAGGGGACTGTTAAGGTGCTGAAAGATCCTGAAATTCAGCACCGGGCAGAACCTGTGTCAGACAGAGCATCCTTAAATTCGGTCTCTGAGGAGGAGGGGGATGAGATACCCACTCCCTTGGATGATCGAAGTAAAGAGGATAAGGGGACCCCTTCACATGGAACCCAGTCCGAGGACGGGGAGGGAAATAAGATGGAAACTGACCCCTCCCCAACTGGAAGAGATAACTAACCTAAATATACATACACCTAATACATCCATACACACATACACACACACAGAGAACATACACATACAGTGGAACCTCGCTTAACGAGCACCTCTCAATGAGTAATTCGCATAACAAGCAAAACAAATTGTAAAAAAATGACTCGCTTAACGAGCAACATTTCGCATAACGAGTGACGAGAGGGGAAGTCCCGGATTATGCGCTTGCTACGTCAGTCTGTGTTTAGCACTCGTTCCGCTAGTATCTTAGTGTCGCTTGTGATCACACATTTTTCCAAATTTGTGTTCAGACATACTATTTGTGATTTTTTTTGTGCAAAGTTTAATAACCCTTCCAAAAATGTCTCCGAAGAAAAAGCCACAAAAAGACAGCCATAAGAGAATACACATAACCGTAGAAATGAAACGTAAAATCATTGAAAAGCGAGAAGGAGGTGTGAGCGTGGCTGATATAGCACGCACATACAATCGGTCTACATCAACGATTTGCATGATTTGGAGTTGCATTGTGTTTCACAGCAAGAAGTTGTGGAGGAGAGTTTGTCAGAGGAGGAGGAGGAGGTAACAGCAAAGCAACAATCTTCTGGTGCAATAAGAGAAGGCATGGGAAACTGTTGCATCGTACATTGAGAAGCATCACCCTAATAAGGCAGTGGGTATGTGCGCTACAAATTTATTTAATGATAATGCTGTGTTGCATTTTCACCAAATTTTGAAGCATCGGCAAAAACAAATGTCTCTAGACAGCTTTCTAGTAAAAAAGAATTAGATATGTATCATAAATAATAAACTAATTATTTCGGTTTTTTTTNTGGATTTAGAAGAGGAAAAGGAACCAGGGATGCAATTGGCATGATGAGAATTATACCAGAACGAACTTTGGAGATAGATGAAAAACTGTGTGTTTGCTTAATAGAGTGGCAGAAGGCATCCGACCATGTAAACTGGACAAAATTAATGCAGATCCTAAAGGAAACAGGTATCGATTGGCGTGAAAGAAGATTGATTAGCAAATTGTACATGGATCAGAAAGTTAGAGTACGACTGGACAGAGGGGAGACAAGAAGTGTGCAGATTGGAAGAGGAGTTCGACAGTGATGCTGTTTATCACCAATTCCATTCAACTTGTACAGCGAATGCCTTACCAAGGAAGCTCTGAATGGGCTCGGAGACTTCAAATTAGGAGGGCAAATTATTCAAACTGTGAAATATGCAGATGACCTTGTGTTAATGGCTAAGGAAGAAACTGTGCTACAGGGCATGATTGATAGACTAATTGAAATTGGAAGGTGCTATGGCATGGAAATGAATGTGGAGAAAACAAAAGTAATGAAAATTTCGAGACAACCAACCCCAGTCACAATAAAGATAGACCAAAAACAACTGGAGAATGTGAAATGTTTTAAATATTTGGGTAGCTTGTTAACAGATGATGGAAGGTGTACTTGTGAAATTAAATCCAGGATTGCCATGGCAAAAGCTGCATTTAGCAAGAAGAAGAATCTTTTTACCAGCAAATTGGACTTAAATTTGAGGAAGAAACTAGTGAAATGCTACATTTGGAGCATAGCTCTGTATGGGGCTGAAACATGGACACTTAGGGCAGTAGATCAGAAACGTCTGGAAAGTTTCGAAATGTGGTGTTGGAGAAGGATGGAGAAGATCAGTTGGACCGATTATGTGAGAAATGAAGAAGTGTTAATTAGTGTCAGTGAACAGAGGAATATCCTACACGAAATAAGAAAACGGAAGGTTAATTGGATTGGTCATGTTTTATGCAGAAACTGCCTTCTAAAAGAAGTTGTTGAAGGAAAGATAGAGGGGCGGATAGAAGTGACAAGAAGACGAGGAACAAGACATAAGAAGATGCTGGATGACCTTGGGGACAGAAGAGGATACTGTCATTTGAAGGAGAAAGCTCTAGATCGCATTAATTGGAGGAATTATTTTGGAAGAGACTGTGGACCTGTCGTCTGACAGATTACTGATGATGATGATGAAACGGTATACATAAAATTTTTTGAGTATTTTTTCGGCATGGAACGCATTATCGTATTTTACATTAATTTATATGGGAAAAATTGTTTCGCATTATGAGTAAGATTCTGGAATGAATTATGCTCATTAAGTGAGGTTCCATTGTATTATGAAATTTCTTCAGATTAACCTACACCACAGCAAAGGATCCACGGCAACTCTATGCCAGCAACTAGCTGAGGGTAAGGCAGACATAGCCCTTATTCAGGAACTTTGGTTATACAAGGGTCAAATAAGGGGCTTAACTAACCCAGGGGGAACAGTTTACTCTGCTGTACCTGGTAACAATGCAAGATCCTGTGTTTATATCAGGAATCATATTAATGCCTTAACTTTGCTGGAGCTCTGTTCTAGGGACGCAACAGCAGTAAGGATAACATACAAAGTGTGTCCAGGTTCTGTTAGGACTATGTTAATTAAAAATACAAGACGTTGATTATTTTCAAAATTTCACCCTTCTTATTCAAAATAGTCTCCTTCTGAATCAATACATAGCCGGAATCGACTGAAAAGTTTTTGAAAACCGTCACTGTACTCCTTTTGTGGAATCGCATTTAAAACTGCGGTACATTCCCTTTGGATGTCTTGGATGGTGAGAATAACCAGAAATCTGCTGGAGCCAAATCTGGCAAATATGGAGGATGATCAAGGGCTGTGATCCCTTTTCTGACCAGAAAATCGCACACGATCTTCGATTTGTGGGGTGGGGCATTGTTGTGGAGGAGCGACCAGGAACCTTGCTCTCGATATTGAGGTCGAATTTGAAGAATTCTCGCCCACAAATGATTGGGACTCTGAGATAATAATAAGAATTCACTGTTTGACCTTCTGGCAGAAATTCCTTGTGAACGATTCCTTTGGAATCGAAGAAAACGGTTAGCAGTGTCTTTACTTGATTCTTTTCCATGCTCACTTTCTTTGGGCTCAACCACGCTGCACTCTGCCACTTTGTGAGAGGCTCATATTGCAAACACCATGTCTCATCACCAGTAACAATCAATTTTGTAAATTCTGTATCACTTTGGGCCGACCGTAACATGTCTTTGCAGTGTTCCACTCTGGCATGTTTTTCATCGCCTGACGGCACGTGCGGTACAAACTGTGCACAGACCTTCTGTTTGCCCAGATCCTTGGTCAAAATTTGATGCACAGTACTTTTTGGTATTCCCAAAAGCTCCTCGATGAGCCTTGCAGAAACACATCTGTCTGACGCAAGGATTTCAGTCACTTTTTTCACATTTTCTTCAGTGCAACTTGTTCTCGGCTTTGATGAACGTGGACTGTCTTCAGTGTCCTCCCTGCCATCACAAAATACAGCATACCATTGAAAAATGCTTGAGCGCCTTGAACAATCACTACCGTACACACTTTTCATCATTTCGTATGCTTCTCCGGCTGTTTTGCCTAACTTCAAACAAAATTTGATGTTGGCTCTCTGTTCAACCTCCATTTTCTAACGAGCGTCAGAACAGTACTGTTACATTCAAAGTCAGAACACATGATGCAGCGATGCTTGCGCTTTGAAATTATAGACAGCCGCAGCTGAAACATCAAGAATCTTAACGCTACAACTCGCCAACAGATGGCATTGCAGGGCAAAATTTAAAAAAATTAGTCCTAACGGATCCTGGACACACCGTGTATACATATCGAGGGGGCAGTAGGGAGCTGATTGTTGCTTCAGTCTACCTTCCATACAACTTGGATGAACCACCACCAACTAAGGAAATGAGGGACATCATAGACTACTGCCATAGCAGGAAAAAGCAACTAATCATTGGGTGTGATGCCAACACACACCACATCTTGTGGGGAAGCACTGGCACCAACCCAAGGGGAGAGAGCCTCATGGAATTTCTGGTGAGTTTGAACCTGAATATTCTAAACCATAGTAACAAACCTACCTTTGGCATGTGTCTGATGAGCCGTCTCTATCTGACCATAGATACATATGCTTTCATATAGATAACATAACAGCGCAACAAGTTACCTTCAGGAATCCCAGGAGAACCAATTGGGAGTCGTACAAAGATGACCTAAAGGTGAACCTGGAGATTATTTCGCAAAGTATATGCACGATAAGGGACATAGATCGATGTGTTGACCAGTTGCAATAGGCTGTCATCTTGTCCTATTATCATAATTGTCCAGCCAAGACCATTCGCTTACCAAGGAATGCATCTTGGTGGATTAAAAAGCTGAGTGGGCTAAGAGCTAGAACCAGAAAGCTATTTAATATAGTGAAAAGGACAGGGCAGTGGGACACCTACAAGGAAATCCTCACCTGTTATAATAAAGAAATAAGGAAAGCCAAATGATCCTCATGGAGGAGGTGCTGCCAGGAGATCAATGATGTACCGGGCAGTACCATGGGGGTCATGGCAAAAAGGCGACCAATAAGGTCAGCTCTATCAAGCTGCCTGATGGCAAGTATACCTAAACTGGAGAAGGGACAGTGAAGGAATTGTTCAGAGTTCACTTCCCAGATTCAAAGTTGATTGATAATTCAGTTGATGAGCAGGGCCAGCAGAACCTGGACGTATGTGGATACATAACGAACAGGGGAGACTGGAACCTGGCTGGTCAGGTAATCAATCAATCAAAAATCAGATGGGTGTTAGGTACCTTCAAACCATTTAAGTCTGTGGGAACAGCTGGTATTGTACCGGCATTTCTGCAGCAAGGGGCAGAACATTTAGTCCCACACCTATGCCACATATTTAGAGCTTGCATGGCGCGTGGGTTTATCCCTGTGGCCTGGAGGCAAGTTAAAGTGACATTTATTCCGAAGCCCAGGAAACTTGATTATACCAAGGCTAAAGCTTATCGTCCTATTAACCTGTCGTCTTTCCTTTTGAAAACGATGAAGTGGTAGATAGACATATTAGGGACGATGCATTAAAAATTCATCCTCCGCACTGAAACCAACATGCTTACCAGATAGGTAAATCTACTGAAACTGCATTGCATAATGTAGTAACACACATAGAGAATGCTATTGAACACAAGGATATTGCCCTTGGAGCATTCCTTGACATAGAGGGAGCCTTTGACAGAACCTCCTTTGATACAATAAAACAGGCTGCTGAAAGGCATGGCATTGAGCCCTCAATATGCAGATGGATCTGTGCTATGCTGGAAAGCAGAAATATAAGTGCTACATTGTCTGGAGAGACCCTGGGAGTGTCTGCGGTGAGAGGGTGTCTGCAGGGGGGGTGTTCTTTCCCCTCTCCTGTGGAGCCTGGTCATGGATGATCATCTTTGGGAGCTCAACAGTACAGGCCACTTCACAGTAGGATATGCTGATGTATGGCAATCCTAATTAACGGGAAATTCCTGCACACTGTATCAGAGGTCTTACAAACAGCCCTGTATACAGTGCAGCAGTGGTGCGAAAGGACAAACTTGTCTATTAATCCAAGCAAGATGGTGATTGTACCCTTTACTAGGAAGAGAGATATAAAGGCTCTCAAAGAACCAATACCCTTCAGTAAAGCGATCCAGCTATCTAGTGAGTCAGGTACCTTGGATTAACATTTGACAAGGGGCTGACATGGAAAAAAAAAAAGCTGGATAAGGCTATTAATAAGGCCTATAAAGCCTTCTGGACATGCAGAGGCACGTTTGGGAAGACTTGGGGACTGACACCAAGGGTGGTATATTGGATATACCCTGCAGTGGAAATCCTACTAGGACTCCCTCCACTGCATTTGCAGATGGAAGCAGAGGCCATGTTAGTATATTACAGATTACGTTGCAGTGATCAATGGAGACCTAAATCCAAAGGTTTTGAACATGCATACATGACTTGGGACATGAAAAAAATAACCATCCTACAGATGGGATCTGATAAAATGCTACCAAAATATGTTTATGATAGACCCTTCATGATCAGATTTCCTGATAGAAGTGAATGGAAAGAGGGGTTTCGACCTGATAGAAAGGGGGGACTAATCTGGTATACAGATGGTTCAAGACAAATAAAGGCACTGGAGCTGTAGTGTATTGTGATGGAACGAGGCTGAAGCATACCTTCAGCCTTGGTCAGTACACAACAGTATTCCAGGCAGAGGTGTATGCCAGTAAGGCATATGCAGTTGAGAATTCAGATAGGAACTATAGAAATAGAACATCTACATCCTATGAGACAGTCAAGCTGCCATTAAAGCACTTGGTACACACCAAATCACTTCAAAATTGATTTGGGACTGCCACCAATCCCTCATACAACTGGCCAGACATAACAGAGTACAACTGATATGTATGCCAGGTCATGAGAGTATTGTAGGGAATTAAACCGCAGATCAGCTGGCAAGAACAGGATCTGAAGAGCCGTTCATAGGACCTGAACCAGCTTGCGGAATCTCAATTGGAGTTGCCAAAAAAAAGCGAGCAGGGACTGAACTGATAGAAACCATAAAAAATACTGGGAATCCATAATTGGATTCAAACAGGCGAAGGGTTTTATATCAGGACCCTCAGCCAGAAGAATGAAGGATCTGTTGAGATCAAACAGAGATCAACTAAGATGGGTGGTAGGATTACTTACCGGACACTGCCACCTGAAAGGACACCTTTTCAAGTTTGGACTGGCAGATAACCCAACTTGTGAAAGGTGCCTACAGGAAAACAAATCAGCCACACACATCCTGTGTGACTATGAGGCCGTAGCTTATTTAAGATTTCATCACTTGGGTCAGTTTTTTATGGAACCAAGTGACTTTTATGATGCCCCCATAAGCAGGGTCCTACACTTTATTAAAAGTGTAGGATTAATAAAGAGCTAATCCAAGGGGAAGCAAAATAGATCATTGAAGGTCGCAGTGCAGGGCCCCACCCCTTACATACATACCACTGCACACCATTGCCAGGATTATTTAGGCTTAATTATTAGAGGATTGGCCAGCCTGATTGGTTGAAGTCTTTTAATTACAATAGACCTAAAGTAGTCACTTTGTCTACAGGTCAACTGGCACAGCTGGAGGGGCGTAATGCAGAGGTAGAATCACAGAACAGCGCCGTGATCCAGCAGAATCTGGAGTTACAGCAAGTAGAACGGGAACTCAGAGACAACCTGCTTACGTTTGTGAGTCGTAGTGAGTTTCAGGATGTGCAGGAGAAACTGCGAAAGTCGGAACAGGATAGGGTATGTGCTGCAGGTGTTCACCTTATGTCTAACTTCACAATGACAAAGGTGGAACTTCTCCTGTTAGAGTTTGTTTGCGGCAATAAAGTACTGTTGTGAGGGATATGATGCTGTGTGGTCAGAAGTTAACTAATATTTTGGAGGAATGTACTGCCTCCATCTTAAGTGTCAAGGAGATGCTAAGAGAACAAGGCAGTACGTTAATCTGAAACATTGATGAAAGAGTACTGGACTACACTGTGTCAACTCCAGATGATTAAAAGAAAAATTAAATGATTCATAGCCACCCAAATTAATAAATCTTGAGCCAAAATTATTGAACCAATTGAAACTCATAAATAAAGGAATATAATCAGAAGTCATTCTGGCTACACCTTCCCATATGGCCACTTTGGTGCTTTTCATAATCACTGCTGTAAAAACCTCAAATCCAATTGCCAGTTGCTGCACTAAAGAACAGTCCAGTTATTTAACCTTTATTGCACAGGAATAAGGACTTAAATTCCAAAATTTAAATTTAGGGGTAATAAGCTTTAGTATAGAAAGAATGAAGTTTGGCTTGTAAAGTTTAATTGTCAGGGCCCCATACTGAATACATATTCTTTTCAGATGGAGCTTAAATTGGAAAAAGATAGGCAACAAGAGGTAAGCGACATAGCTCAAGAGCAAGTGCGGAACTTAGAGCTCTGGAAGTTGTCACAGGAGTACCAACTGGACTACATGAGACGTCAGATTCTAGAACTGCAGTCCACTAGCGATGAGAGGTCAATTATTGGTAAGAACTCACACTACTGCAGTTCTAAGTCAGTTGGTCATCAGTCATATGCTTCTTCTTGTGGTTTTCCAGTTCCAGGCATCTCTAGAAAGTACAATGTGTGTGTATATGAGTGACTATGTGGTCATATCTGCTCATCTGTCTGCGACTAGCATTGAAACCCCTGGACTTTTAAAATCCACATGGAAGACCTTTACTAGAAGCTGTCAGGAAGTAAAATTTTACAATTCTTTATCAAATATTAATTTCACAAAGTACATTGAAAGAACCCTTTGAGTGCCAAAGCATTAATGGACATAACAATTTGTTATAGCAAAACTGAACCACGAGTTGCTGTCTTCTCGGCTCAGTGAGACCTCAGCCCACAAGAAGGTGCAGCAGTTGCGGAATGAGATCTCCAAGTTACGCTGCCACAACCTCCGCCAAGAAGCAAAGCTCGATGAAAAGGAGCAAGCTCTTAGCCACTTGCAGGGACAGCTCACTTCCCGATGCAGGTGCAGGGTTGATTCAGATCCTAGCCATGCTGTGGCCAGCACCATTGACACAATCCTTCTAAATTTATCTTCTCTTTTGGCATCATTTTCATTTTATATTATGTTGATGGACAAAAATTCTCCAGTCTCTCCTATTTGATCTGGTGGCAACTCTTTCCTTTAAATTTTTTGGTGTCCTTGTTCTATGCATTCTTTTTACAGGGCCAAATCACTGCAATCATTTCTCTTCTCACTATTAACAAATTTTAAATTCTGACTTCCTTCATAAAAATGTTATTTTTAACTCTACCCCATCTTATTTTTATCCTCAGTAATTTGCATAAATTTTGTATCCTTTGCTTTGATTTTGCTTTTGATACAAAACATTACTCTTTGAAACCATTTGGAATGGTGAAGTCCCATAAGGCACTTCAGCATATTCTGGGACATCACAGTGGCTCACAGAAATGACGATACTTGCACTTAGTTACTAACTGCAGCTGTAAGATATAAGCAGCCAAAACTTGTATTCCACAAGTCTTTAAGAATGCATGATGTCTTGTTGCCACTACAGGTCACTTCATCAAGCGATTCAGGACCTGCGGCATCACTACAGTGGTGCTGTTCCTCTTGCAACCCATGAGCGCATGGCCCTGTCCCTGCGCCGTCTGGGAGAGGAGAGACGTGAAGCCATCGAGAGGCTCCACAGAGCTGAGAAGATGGCCCATGAAGCAGTTACTGCCAGAGAAGAGATGGAATTACAAGCAAAATCTCTTGAGGAACTCAAGGCTGCCCTTACATTGTCAGATGGCCAGAAACAGCTGGTTGACTGGCATAAGAAGAACACTGAATTGAGGATCAAAGTGAGTACTGTAGGGTACTATGTGCACTTCTACAAAACTTGAGATCCAGACATGAACTTAACTTCTAGTCTCAGTTTCTCAAGACTATCACATTCAAGCATCATTTGTATGTTTCTTGTTCTAATTGGTGACACTGAGTCACACGCATGCAACACTGAACAAAAGTGAGACAATGATTTTTGAATTGTGATTTATGAAGATTGTGAGAACAATCGTTTGTCTTATTTTAAGGTATTATTTGGTGGAAGAGCTGAGGAAAACTATGAAAACATCTGAAACACTTGGATTTGATAACTATGCTGAGTTGTAATGCCATATAGTTTTTTTTTGGGGGGGGGGAGGCCATAACTCAAGCGGTTAGTCACTGGCTTCCCACCACAGCAGCCTGGGTTGAATTCCGGGTCTGGTCAAGTGGGATTTGTGGTGGACAAAGTGGCGCTGGGGCAGGTTTTCTCCATAATCATAGTCACCTGCGCAGGCTACAGTAGGCCAATCAGTGGCCGCCATGCCAAGTGGACTCGGTTGGACTCCACACCCCACTAAGCAAATTTGGGGGGGGGACAACATTTTAGAGGAACATGTCACCTCCTTCAAGTTGTAAAGTAAGCGAAGCAAGAAACCAACATAAGTGGGTGACAAGCTGAGCTCTTTCTGAGCCATGTGGTGTTACTACCCAGAAGACTGCACTCTTCATCAGAATAGCCTCTGGCAGAGACCTGAATTATGGATCTGGTATTAATGTCCATTTAACACTAATCACAAAATCTCTAGGTACTATAAAATGTAACCATTAGATACATAATTTTTATTTCCAACCTCACTCCTACTAGCTACAACACATGAAGGTCAGAGAACAACATGCATCCACACTGTTTAAGAAACACTGATGTCCTTTAGCAGTGGTTAAATGATGATACTTGATGCTTCACTCATAGATAAGACATAGGCCATCTACTGAGTTATTATCAAACTGGGGTTCAAACCACAGCCACCCAGCATGTGCCTCAGACTTATCAGGTGCATTAGGGCCGTGCCATATTTTTATTATTATTATTATTATTATTATTGGAGGGGGTGGGTATCCCCATGCATCGCAACCAGTGGTCTATTGTACGTCCCCCTGTGATATTCTACCAGTCTCTATACCCTACCGGTATTGGTGCGTGCCATCTGTCCCAACTCAGCCAGCGAGTTCGGCCTCTACTGGCTCAGCGGTATCTAGATGCTTCCCCCATCTACCAGAGGCATTAGAGGCTATTGTTGGGCGGGAAATGTCCTTATAGTTTGGCTCAGAGGCCTCCTTGAGACATGAGGTTCTTTTACATGCCGTAAAGCTACGACACGGGACCCACGGCTTAAAGTCCCTCCCGGAGGACTTGTTCCCTGAATTTTTCCGCCCTTAAAAATTCCACGACCTCCGCCAGGTTTGAACCCGCGTACCTTGAGTCATGAGGTGGGAGCGTTACCCCTAGACTACGGAGGCCGCTAGGGCCGTGCCATAGCTCAAGCCGTTAGTCGCTAGCTTCCCACCGCGGCAGCCCAAGTTTGATCCCAGGTCGGTCAAGTGGGATTTGTGGTGGACAAATTGGCGCTGGTTTTCTGCAAGTACTTCGGTTTCCCCTGCCAATCTTCATTCCTCCAAATTCTCCATCATAATCACTCGTGGCAGGTTACAATAGGCCAATCAATGGCTGCTGTGCCAAGTGGACCCAGTTGGACTCAACCCCCCACTAAGGAAAAAAAAAGTTTATTGGGTGCATTCACTGCCACATGCAATCTTCAAGGCTGTTTATTTGTTATGGCACCTTTCAAAGTTGGAACTATTTACTTGTCACAATTTGAATGTGTGTCCTTCCAAGTGACTTCCTCCAAACAGTCCTGTCTAATGTCTCAGTTCTTTCTTTTTCATCTGTCTTATGATGTAGGTCAACTCCTGAACCTCATGGCCACAAGTCTGGCCCATTGTTACTGTACAGACACTTAGTACAGGACTTGGTTAATCTTAAGACTGGTTTCCACCCCAGTGAATATGATTTCCATTGTCCAGGATGTGACAGAGTGGTGTCTTTGTTGCATCACATTCTAGAAGACTCTAATTTTATGTACAGAAATTTTCATGCCTATAATGTTGGCTTGTAATAATAGAACTAATTCTTGTGTCTGTGTATGAGGAGCTAAAATCAAGGCATCAGGTGGAGCTGTTGGAGTCACAGATGCAGCAGGCAGAGGAGAGGTTACGTCGACAGGAGGAGCACATTGCCATGTTGGAACAGGAGCAGATCACCACAGAGAGGAACTATGAACAAGCGCAGCTCACATGGGAACAGACACAGGTACTCTGAAAACAGGAGGCAGTTTGGGTTGTGAGCATTTCTAACTCATGGCCTCTGTACCATGCTTGTAACTTTCAATGTGCAAGGACTGTAATCAAGTGACTGATGCCAATCAGAAGATAAGAAATGTGAAATGTCTTTTAGATTTTGCGATATTTTGGGTCACAATGGCCTTCTTGTAACTGCAGAGTGATCTGTACAAGCAACTTGCAGACTGCGAGGACCAGCAGAAGGTGGTAGCAGCTGAGATGCAGAAGCAAGCATTGGTATCAAAATCTTCCGAGTCTCATACAGAAGAGAACAGTTCCATGCTGGAACAACTCCGACAGGTACTTCCTTCTATAATTATCACCCATTACATAATTTTGCATCCATTTTTCAGGAAAGAAATTTTACATCACCATTTTAGGCAGTAAATTTAGTACTGTAAGGTTCCTTTCTATACAGCAGACAGGTTAATTCCATGTTAGGTGGGTCCCTTGTCACGATGGCATGGCACGTTCTCAGGTTACGGATGGAGGAGACAGCCTCCAGACATAGAGGGTAGCTGAGAATATATTGAGTAAGCAGTCACGGACAGTTGACAAGGGGTGGTTCTCCAGCTGGGGGCTGGGCGTGGGGCTAACAACTCCTCACCGTAAAAAATAAGCCTTGTTACAAAATGTCATTAAGGACCTCAGACCTGAATGGATTATTTGGATGAACGATCTAAGCTAAAGAAAATGGACATGAGAGTTAATACATGGAAAACTTGGTCTCTGACATTAAGGGAGGAACATAGACTGAAGGTGATTGAGAACAGGGTGTTGAGAATTTTTGGACCGATGAGAGATGAAGTGATGTGAGGTTGGAGAAAAGTGCATAATGAGGAGCTTCATAACTTGCACTCTTCGCCAAGTGTAATTAGAATGATCAAGTCAAGGAGGATGAGATTGGCAGGGCATGTATTACGAATAGGGCCAAAGAGGAATGCATATAGGATATTTGTGTGAAAGCCAGAAGGAAGACTAGGAAGACCAACACATATGTGGGCGGGAGATATTAAAATCTTAGAAAGGTAGGATAGGGTGGTATGAACTGGATTCATCTGGCTCAGGATAGGGACCAGTGGAGGGCTCTTATGAACATGATGATGAATATTTGGGTTCCATAAGATGCTGGGAAGTTCTTTAGTAGCTGAGCGATTGGAGGCTTCTCAAGAAGGGCTCAGCTCCATGATGTCAGTCAGTCAGTCAGTCAGAGACAGGATAATTAACAACAGTTCAGTGCTAGACTAGGCTAGATCATATTAACCTTTATCATCCAGACTTCAATCTCCCATTATTAAGGCACTGGCTGTCAGATTTAGACTTAGTGGTGATGTAAACACATGCTGGAGCATGTGCCAGTACAGTTGTGTGACACATGAGCATTGACAGAGGATTCTTTCTCTAAATATGTTAACAGCACACTGTCAAGCTTCATGGTACTATCATGGGTTGAAAGACAGTAGGAAGTATTCTTTCTCACAGGATATTCAGTATACCATTGATTTTGAAAATAAATGGCTGTAACAATAAGATCACGCCAATTCTGTTCATGTATGACCAATCTGAAAGCAATTAGAATGCCTTGTTTGTAGGTTGTTAGCAATTATATTATGAGTCCTAAATAGGGTCCATGGCTGGTCACGGTAGCCGAGCGGTCTAAGGCATGTACTATCTTCGTTCGCTTGGAAACCGGGATCGTGGCTTCAGATCCCACTCAGGGCATGGATGTTTAGTTTGTGTGTGTGCGTTTTTCTGTGTTTGTATACAGGTAGAGGCCTTGCGACAAGCTGATCACCTGCCCAAGAAGTCCTACCAAATGTGTAAGATCTAGAAAAACAGAAGTGAACGGAGAAGTTCATGGAGGAAGGCCTAGGCCCACTGGGGCTGTAGTGCCAAGGGGAAAAATAGGGTCCATCTGATAACTTCCTGTATTGATGATGTACATCATTAACTGTAATAGACAAAGCTGCAACATTACCCCAAGGTGTACATGATTGATTTCAAGATATTTAATAGTGTTACATCAACTGCAGAAGCATTTACTGTTGACTGAGAAGATATGGTCATCATGTATGGTGAAGTGGAAAGGCCTCTTCTAAGATTATTTTTGGTTGTTGTATTCCCATGAAGGAAATGCAGAGACCAATGGGATACTTGAGTCAGAATATCTGGCACCCCACCCAAGATCGAAATGGGATGGATGCCTCCTGAATACAAGTTCCATACAGTGCTGACTGCGGTAGCTTTCTTGGTCCAAACTGAAGAGCTATTGCATAATCTTCTCTATGTGCATGCGCATGTGTGTATGTGTGTGCACATGTGCGCACCTGCCCTTGAGAGACACTATGAAGCATGGCCTCACTGAATATGCCCCCTGTGAACTTCAGAAATTCTGGAAACATGGCTGTATTTACACTAACACACCAAACTTAATACAGTAACCATATGCACTAGGTGGCTCTGGTATCCAGAGGTACCCTAGAAACGTCTTTTGACAAAGGTGGACACTGCAATACTGACTGAGCACACCTTCCATTGCCAAGTATTGTGCTATCTTCTGTTCATGTTTGTAACTTCTTGCTAACACATTTAACAGAGCAGCAAGTGCTGACCTTCAGTGTGTGTGGACTTCCTTTCAGGCTATGAGTCTTGTCAGTACCCAATCACAGAGTTTGATCAAATACGAGGCTGAGCTCGCTCAACTGAGAGGGAAGGTTGCAGCACTGACAGCAGACATCGAAGAAAAGGACAGGCTCCTTCTGTCTAAGGACAAAGTGATGGCAGAAATAAGGGCCAAGTGGAATTCCAACCAGCAAAAGGCTGTGGAACAACCGCAGAGGGCTGTGGAGCAGCTGGGAGAAGATGATTTGACAGAGAAGCTGGCTCTCAAGGTAACCTCTCATTTGTCGTTATATGTTCCCAGATTTAATCTTTTCCTACAACTACAGTGACATTAAGATTTTCAATTTTTAACTCTCTGGATGAGAGTCTTTCTTGAGAATTTTTAGTTCCTCAGTCAAGAACTCAGCCAGCTGAACCCAGTTTCCATCATCATCAGCTTATATCTCTATTACCAGTTTTAATATTGTCCTGTTGGTCATGCCTGTGAACAGCAGGCTGTGAGGATGGGAGGTGGATGGAAGTAACTCAGTAATGTGTCCAGTGTAGGCCTTCGTATTATCAGTGTTAAGGCTTCACATTCTGTTACAGGAAAGTGCATACCTAACGTTCTTTGTATACTTACTTACTTACTTACTTACTCATAGAGCTGAGCCCTTCTGAAGGAGCCGCCAAATCTGCAGCTACTCAAGAATTTCCCAGCATTTTATGGAACCTGAAGGTTCATTACCGTGTTCTCAAGGGCCCTCCACTGGTCCCTATCCTGAGCCAGATCAATCGAATCCATACCATCCCATCCTATCTCTCTAAGATCCATTCTAATATTGTCCACCCACCTATGCCTTGGTCTTCCCTGTGGTCTCTTTCCTTCTGGCTTTCCCACCAATATCCTATATGCATTTCTCGTCTCCCCCATTCATGCTACATGACCTGCCCACCTCATCCTCCTTGACTTGATCATTCTAATTATACCTGGAGAAGAGTACAAGTTATGAAGCTCCTCATTATGCAGTTTTCTTCAACCTCCTGTCACTTCATCCCTCTTCGGTCCAAATATTCTCCTCAACACCCTGTTCTCAAACACCTCAGTCTATGTTCCTCCCTTAATGTCAGAGACCAAGTTTCACACCCATACAGAACCACGGGCAAAAATGTTCTTGTATAATGTGATATATTTGCATGTCTCAATTTGGAATTTCAGTTCGTAAACTTGGCTAGCCTAAGATCTTCCCTACTCTAATTTGTTCCCCAAATTATCATCTGCTTTTCATGCTGTACAGAAATTTATGTTAGGAAGTGTTTTAATCAGAGCCCAGTTGTAATCTTATGGACCAGTATGAAGGATGGATTTTAGTTCATCTGCTTAGACTCGTCCACAGTCTGCATTAGAGGAACTGTAGGGTTAGTTGACTGCAAGCTGGTATAGAGCTAAGAGCATTCTTTGTTGTTCAAACAAGAACCCTGTTACACCAACCCCTTATCTACATCAAGCTTTAAGCAAGAAGCCAGCACAATTAATGCCATAAAACAGTGATCACGCTGTCTTGTTATTCCCAAAGTACATTCAAAGTTCCATTTTTATCTTAATTATTTGTCCTGTCAACTGCGCTGTGAAATTCATCAGTATTTATCCATTTGTTTGACTTATTTGAGAATCATTTGCAGGCAACAGTTGACAGTCTGCAAATCATTGTGAACCAGAAGGAGGAAACTATTGGTCGCTTTCAGCAGCTACTAAAAGAAAGTCGTGATGAACACAGCCAGGCTGCAGCCAGACTCCAGGAAGAACTGCGCAGCCTCCAGACTGCGCTTAACAACTCACAGCAGTCTTACAGCAGGTGAGGACGACACTTGAAGTATGATTTTTGTGGCTTATTTTACAATGCTGTCAGTATCACAAATCATACAGCATCAAATGGCAGGATAATTTGTGAATATGAATTGTAAAGGATTTGGAAAGAGGTGAGCATCGCCTGAGGTACTATTCTCACAGTTGGCTGGAGGGACTGAGGAAAACCACAAAAGTCATCAGTTAGGATAGTTGATGATCTGGCCAAGATTCAAACAAACTCCTCTTGAATGCAAGCAAGGAACCGTTAGCTTGTCATGAAGAACTATGCTCAGCAGAGTTAGTTCAGTCATTTTGTTCTTAAAAGAAATGAAGCTGGGATAACTGTACCACCAAATTATGAAATTTAAGAAGATGAAGGAAGTATGTTCCTCCAGTATGCTAGTAGTAGCCCTCTACAGACTACATGATGTCACATCCCAGGACTCTGCAGCCTTAGCATTCACAGTCATGACAACCTCAAGTCACATTTTTCTCCAAGTTTAACATATCAGCATCACACCAATCGTCTTTTGTGGAATTGTCTCAAAATAACATTGACATATCATACCTGATGTTACACATTTCTACATGCAAACTGATGTGGAGGGCTTTGCTTTCAGACTCAAATCCAAACTGCACCGCCCATCTCCAACCAAGGAGCCCATTCAATCCATCGTCGATCAGTATGTCTGCCAGATACAAGGGCTGGAGGATGAGGTGGCAGAACTGCATACCAGTGTGGGCAACCTAAGCAATCAGCTGCACTCCTGTCGACAAGAGGCTGATCGCTGGCGCCACCTGGCAGAAGATCGGCTCAAGAACATGGAGGAACTTCGTCAGAGGCAGGGCTCTTGCCATTCATTCATCAGTAATCTGTCAGACGACAGGTCCACAGTCTCTTCCAAAACAGTTCCTCCACTTGATGCGATCTAGAGCTTTCTCCTTCAAATGAAAATATCCTCTTCTGTCTCCAAGGTCATCCAGCATCTTCTTACGTCTTCTTGTCACTTCTATCCGCTCCTCTATCTTTCCTTCAATAACTTCTTTTAGAAGGCAGTTACCACGTAAGATATGACCAATCCAATTAGCCTTCCGTTTTCTTATTTCGTGTAGGATATTCCTCTGCTCACTGACTCTAAATAACACTTCTTCATTTCTCACATAATCGGTCCAACTGATCTTCTCCATCCTTCTCCAACACCACATTTTGAAGCTTTCCAGGTGTTTCTGATCTACTGCCCTAAGTGTCCAAGTTTCAGCCCCATACAAAGCAATGCTCCAAATGTAGCATTAATTGTGTATCCAAAAAAAAAAAACAGTTGCATTGGTTATACATTTCTTGCTTCTCGTTGACTTAACCATTCTTACAAAGCTATGTGATGACCAAAGCTCCATTAATGTAATTTTTCTCATTTCCATGTTACTTTACCTCTGAGTCCAAATATTCATCTCAGCACTTTCTTATCTGATACTCTGAAGCTCTCCCAAAGCTGCAGTATAATTATTTGCCATCAAAGTGAGTACAGTAAAAGGCTTCTTTCTTTGAGCATGCATTCTGGAATATGACCCCTGGTAGTCTGGCAGATAAGTAAACATACGATGGGGTACCCAAAAGAAACCAAACTAATTTTTTTGTGGGCAGAGCTTTTGTAGTACTGCGTTTTGCCGCTATGAGCGCATAGAGCTAACATTCCTGAGTCGATAAGCCGACTACCGTTGCTTCAGAAGGTAAGGACTAGTTTCGGCAGAGTTTATAGTGACAACTGTTTTGTGTGATCATCGTTTTTGCAATGGCTGATTTTCGTGAACAGCGTGCGGCGGTGAAATTCTGCTTTTTGCTAGGGGAAAGTGGAACAGGAACTCTTGAAATGTTAAAAACGGCATACAAGGACGATGCTATGGGGAAAACTCAAGTGTGTGATTGGTTTTCCCATTTCAAAAATGGTGAAATGTCAATTGATGACAAACCTCGTTCTGGTCATCCTTCCACGGCCCGAACACATGAAAATGTTGAAAAAATTCGTGAAATCATCAATGAAGATCGACAACGGAGCATGGAAGAAATTGTGGAGCTGTCGGGAGTGACTTTGAGCTCAGCGGCCAGATTTGTAGCAGTCGGGTGACTGGTTTTTTCATCATGACAATGCCCCTGCTCACACAGCCCTGTCTGTATGACAATTCTTGACCAAAAATGGTATGACCCCTGTTCCTCACCCTCCATACTCACCCGACCTTGCCCCGTGCGACTTTTTTTTGTTTCCTCGAATGAAAAGAGACATGAAAGGAAAAAACGACGGAGGCACTGTCAAGCATCTCAAAAGATGAATTTAGACAATGTTTTGAAAAATGGAATAAAAGACTAGACAAGTGTACTAGTGTAAGTGGAGAGTACTTTGAAGGGGATTGAAGGTTTGTGCTTAAAATTTGAATAAATAAGTTAAAAAAAAATAAGTTCGGTTTCTTTTGGGTACCCCCTCGTATGTGAGAAATTCTGGTACCTTTCTGCCCAAATACACATCTCAGATCATAATCATAATAACACTGAACTCTGTGAGAACCCAAAATCTTCTGTGTATCTGATATCAGCATGACAGTTCTGACGAGTACTGATTTAATTTTAAGTATCAGTTCTTAATCACCATTCTTCTCTATTCATCCATGGTTCTTCTTCCAATCCCTTCTCTGCCACTGCATTAAATATTCATGGATTCTTTTTTATATCAGTCCACAATGTCCGAAGCAATTTCAGTGCCAACACGACCTTCACAATGGGCAGTCTATTTTCTGTTGCTGAATCATTTACATCTGCTGTAGATAGTTTGTAATTTTCATTTTGTGCATCCTGTTATGTTATTATTGTGACGTGGACGGCACAACGCTCAGTAAACACCCCCCTCCTCCAGTGGTGACGTAACAGCATCAGAGCAACTGCCGCTGTTACGGTAACAGGCCAATCAACACTCTGCCCCCTCCCCCCGCAGTGACGTAACGGCGGACACCGCAGTTATTACACAGCCATGAACAACTCTCGGCAGCGTTCCCCAGCAACGCCTGTAAACACGACGTTACGAAACAGTGGTAGCTATCACGTAACTGTTTTCTGTGTTGTCAGTGCGGAAGCTACTAGAGTAGTGAGTAGTGAGCATTGAGCCAGTTACTAGAGAGTAGCCCGTCAGTTGCAGTCTAGCATTTGCCAGAGTGAGCTGAAGTCCATTGTTATTGAGTTGTATCTAGTGAATGGAAATGACTACAGGAGAAGTATTTGTGAAACTGCAGATGGTAGTAGTGGTGTAATTGTGAATTGTGTAAGTGTAAGAGCGAGTGTTCAATAAATTCGCTACTTCCAAGACGGCGTGAAGTTATTTGTCACGTGACACATACTAAACACATTATATACAATTCCTTATTTGAGTCTGTTGTAACACAACATAACGGTCAAGATTAATATTACCTTAGCTACATGTTTCGGCTTTTGAAGCCATCATCAGGCAAAACACATGATTACTATATTCACACACTACTGAACTGCTTTGATTTTACCGTATAGATAGATATGCTTACATTTCTTACATGGGCCATCCAAGCATATTTCACCATTAATCTCAAATTTTTACTTCGGCAGGTGTAAATAGAGTGTGGCTGAATTTTATGCAAATTTGAAATAATGCAATATACAGAATATTAATAAAGTGTCACTTTATATGCAAAGTTTGAAACAGTCTGAATCCCAAAGAATTTGGCAAGAATCACATGTGCATTTCAAAACTTGTCTTGAAATATACAAGTTTTGAATTATGTGAGTCTTCAGGAATGTATACCTCACATAAAATCAGACTGCACTGTATATGAATTCCCTCTTTACAAAATAAAATGATTCCAGGCTGGAAGAGCAGCACAGTATGGAGTTGCGAACATACCAGGAGGAATCGCAGCATTATCGCCAGGAACTGGAAACTGTGAAGCAAGACATGGTTGTGGTGCAGGAACAGCTGAAGCAGCAAGCAGAAGCAGCCCAGCGCAGGCCATCAGCCATCACACAGAATTTAATTGCCATGCTGAGGGCCCAGTTACAGGAGAAGGAGGCCAAGGAACAGTTGCTGTCACAAACCGTTACCGATCTGCAGGTCTGTCCATAATTCTTTTTCGCAAATTTTATGTCTGTGCTTTACAAGAGCAGTTGGTGTCATAAAGGTAACATGTTCTGAGCCTCAGCATCTCCTCTGGCGCTAGCTGGAGGTGAGTGGTTATGCCCTGGAAAAGTGGCCCAGTGCCCATCACTAGGGAAGTGTCTTCTCCAGTGTTGCTCATGGAACCTAGGCAGTGTTTCAAGAACCTGCATCCAATTAATTTTGCTTTACTCTTTCCCCTTGAAGATGGAGGTGGTGTGTTCCTCCAAAATAGCTTTCATCAGACAGTGCTATATCCTAGAAGGCAGAACTCTTCACAGTTACTTCAAATCCCACATGTATGGATAACAGAATAAAAATAGTACATACCACTGTGTGCATCATGACATCATGTAGCCTGGTGGGCAGATGCAAAGGATTGGACCTCGTGGAGGGGACGACCCCCTCCAAAACGGAAAAAGAGATTTTGTTGTAGGGTTTGTAAAGTGTGGAAACCCGTAATATTGTGATAATTAATTGTAGCCGTTATTTGGAGATTGTTAAATAAACCAATTAACCATCTCTACGGCATATTCAGTAACGAAACACATTACACTGGTGTCAGAAGTGTTACGAACTTAAACACGCCACAAATTGAATTGTTGTGCATCGAGTATCTTACTGCTACAAAATGGAGCAAGGCTTTCAACTAGTAATCGAAATGCTGGCGAAGGCAGAAGCAAATAGAAAAGCCCACATGGGAAAAATGGAGGCCGATAGGAAGAGAGACAAAGAAGATTTAATGGC